TTTTGGTCCGTGTTTGTTTGTCCTAAGTTTTTTTCTTTATATGTATCATTTGTAGTTCCTCGCTTTAGTATCGAAGATTGAGAGCAATAAAGCGAAAGCTTGAGAGATCTTGTAGCTCCTGAATTTATTTGATATTAGTAAAATTTGCAGGGGCAAAAAATGGACATACTTCTCACATTAAGGGTGAACCACTATAAATCTTGTGTGCCTTAATTTTTTTTTTTAATTCATGTTCTTCAAGAAAAATTAGATCCGTAATTCCTAATGATTGGTATCGGAACACATGGTTTGTGGTGTAGTTAAAAAAATGATGGGGAGCGATAATGGTTAAGCACACGATATCGGCAAGTTCGATGGTACAAATTGTTCGTTCTGGAAGATGTAGATCGAAGATTATCTCTATAGTAAAAAGTTTCATCAATCGTTGGAGAAAAAACATGAGACAACAAGTCAGATTAATACTATCAAAGAATGTCGTACACAACAACGTGAAAGAGATGTCTACAAAGGGGTTGATAAAAGTTCAATCGGATATGTATGAGAAACTTTCTGTAAAAAACAAGATATTTCTCATGAAGAAGTTATTGCAATTCAAGATGGAAGATGGTAGTCCTGTTGCAGCGCACGTTAATAAATTCATCACGAATGTTAACCAACTATCATATGTTAAAACCGAGTTTAATGATGAGGTGTGTGCTTTGATTTTGCCGTGGCATCTCTGGCAAATAGTTAAAAGGCCATGAGGGCAGTTGTTAATATTTATGTTGGTAATGCAAAGCTTAAATTCATTTATGTTTGAGAATGAATCTTTGGTGAGAAAGTTTGAAGGATAGATACATGAGAAGCTTCGACGAGTTCTGCTTTAATGTTGATAATAGAGGAAAAAGTCAAGACATAGCAAACATAAATCAGGGTGGAGAAAACTCAAGCTATGGTTGAGTTCAATCTAAGACCATGCAGCTTGCAAAGGGCTGTAATTATGGGCAAGAACAACAACATTAAAAAGAATTGTTGGGCATTATAGAAGAAGGAAGAAAACAGAGGTGCTAGAGCCAATGCAATGATATGTGATGTATTTGCAGTGTCTATTGATTATCCAAGAGAAAATGAACGTTATGTTGTGGTCGTTGAGATTATAAAAGCATCGATCTCTTCAGCTGATAGTCAGATTGATTCTTGGGTTCTTAATTCAGGAGCCTCTTTCCATACCACGACACACCAGAGCAAATAAAATGTTGTTGGGAATTATGAAAATGTATATCTAGCATAAGTAATACCTTTGGACATTGTTGGTGTTGGAGACATCAACCAGATGATGAAAGATGGGAGTGTGTGGAAGATCACAAAAATGAAACATCTATCAAATTTGATGCAAAATCTGATTTCTGTAAGACAACTTGATGATACAAGACATGATATCAATTTTGGTGGTGGAGCTTGGAGGGTGACAAAAGTTTCTATGGTGGTTGCAAATGATCATAAAAGAGACACTCTTTATATGATGACAACCTATGAAAAAACAATTGTTGTTGTTGAGAATGCCAAGAAAACTGAGTTGTGACATTGTAGATTGGGACATTTGAGCGGAAAAGGTATGAAGCTCATAGTAGCGAATGCTGCACTTCTAGATTTGAAGATGGTGAATCACCATATGTGTGAAAGCTACATCCTTGGAAAGCAGAAACGGGTTATTTCTCGAGTTATGGAAGAGAGTTAAAATCTGAGAAGTTGGAGTACACAGTGTGGGAACTTGCTCATGTTGCATTGTTGGGAGGATCACACTACTATGTGACCTTGATTGATGACTCCACAAGTAAGGTATGAGTTTTCTTCATGAAAAAAAAGTTTGAAGTGTTCTCAGTTTTCATGAGATGGAACGCCATGGATGAGAATGAGACAAATCTCAAGTTGAAGTGCATAAGATCCGATAATGGTGGAGAGTAAATTACGTAGAGTTTAGAAAATATTGTGATGATAATGAGATTAAAATAGAGAAGACTGATCCTGGAACGCCCCAACAAAATAAAATAGCAGGGAGGATGAATAGGACTCCAAATGAGCATCCACGAAGCATGCAAATCCATTGTAGATTGGCTTAAACTCCTGAAAGTGTTTGGTTGTTTAGCTTATTGATGACGCTGAAAAAAGTAAATTTGATGCAAAATCTAACAAGTGTGACTTTAATTGTTATGGTGACACCGAGTTTGGTTATTGGTTCTAAGATGACCAGAATCAGAAGATCATCTACAACGGAATTATTTTATTTAACAAAAAAGTATTGTACAAGGATAAACTGAAGGTTAGCTCAAAGAGTAAAAAAGTCTAAAGTTATTGATTTGGGATATATCTAAGTAAAGAGTTATAGGATACCGTAGCAGCAGAAAAGCAAGAAGCTCAGATAAAAGATATTAAAATAAAAGAGAATGATGTGACAATAGTCACTCAATATACGCATGTTATAGCTTTGTGGCGGACAACAAGAGTTAGTAAACCGGTAGTAAACCTAAATGCCATGAAAATGCATTGCAAGTGTAAGAGTCGATTAAGTGGCAGCTGGCATTGAAAGATAAAATGGACTTGTAGATGTCCAATCATACATGGAATTGGATCGAGCTACTTGCGAGGAAATAGGCGTTGCATAATAAGTGGATCTACCAGATAGAGGAAGAGCATGATGGAAGTAAACGCTATAAAGCGAGGTTGGTTGTGAAAGGATTCCAACATAAAGAAGGTGTTGACTACATATAAATGTTCTCTCTTGTAGTCAAGTTGGTGACTATCAGAACTATTCTTGGGTTGGTTGTAAAAGAAGATTTTTGCATATTCAGCATATGGATGTAAAGACTGTTTTCCTTCACGGTGAGTTGGAGGAACAGATTGACATGATTTAACCTGAAGGCTTTGAGGTCAAAAAACAAGAAAAGCTGGTATACAAGTTGCAACAGAGTTTGTACGGGTTAAAACAAGTTCCAAGACCGTGGTATAAGAATTTTGGTAGCTTTACGAAGAAAGTTGAGTTCTTGAGGTGTGAGGCTGACTGTTGTTGTTATTTCAAGAGGCTGAAGAAGTCCAACTTGATATTGCTTTTAAATGTTGATGACATGCTCATAGCGGGATGAGACTTGCAGTAGATTGACAAGCTGAAGGCAACACTCTCAAAAGATTTTGCAATGAATGACCCGGGAGAAGCAAAACAGATTTTTGGGATGAGAATTAGTAAGAGCAAGTAGGGTTTTGAGCTGTCACTAACGTGAAGAAAAATATCTAGAAGTTTGACATGAATGACGTAAAGTCGGTTAGTACTCCCCTGACGAGTCATTTTTGGTTTTCTAAAGATGAGTCACATGTGACTGAAGATGAGATGGCATATATGGATACAGTTCTATATGCTTCTGTAATAGGCAGCTTGATGTACGCGATGGTATGTAAACGGTTAGACATTACACATGTAGTGGAATTCGTTAACAGGTTTATGAGAAATCTGGAAAAAGAACATTGGAATGTTGTTAAGTGGATTCTAAGGTATCTAAAAGGAAATCTGAGTTCAGCGTTGTGTTTCAGGAAGTCTGAGATGGGGTTGCAAGGATATGTTGATGCTAACAATGGAGGTGACATTGATAGCATGAAGAGTACATCCGGGTATGTTTACACTTTTGATAATACTACAATTTATTGGAGTTCAAAGTTGCAAAAGATCGTGGTGTTGTCTATCTGTGAAGCGGAGTATATTGCTCTAACAGAAGTGGGAGGATAGATGATGTGGGTACAATCATTTTTGTTAGAGTTAGATCAGAACTATGAGATGAGTGTACTACATTATGATAGCAAAAGTGCTATAGATTTGGTAAAGAACCCAGTTTACCATGCTCGAGCGAACCATATAAATCAAAAATATCAATTCATTAGATCAGTGTTGGAATATGGCACGATTTTTCTTGAAAAATCTCGGGAAGTCAGAAACCGGCAGATATGTTGAATAACGTTGTGCCGTACAATAAGCTAATATTGTGTGTAACCTTAGTTGGTCTTCTAAACTAAGAATAGAAGACATCGCTCCAGATGGAGACTAAAGATTGTGATTAATCTCTATGTGGAAGATTGTTGAGTTGTGAAGATAAATCTCAATATAAAGGACGTATGAATAGTGTATCTCAGTGAATATGAACGTACGTTCAATTCTGTGAACGCATGGTTAATGTTGTGAACGTTTGTTTTATTATGTTTAGTATGGTTATCTTAGAACGTTTTATTAAAGGTATTTTGGGTATTTTTTACTCATGTTTATTTGTTCTAAGTTTTTTCTTCATATGTATCTTTTGTAGTCGTATCTCTTCAATATCGAAGATAGAGAGCGGTAGAGCGAGAGAGTGAGGGAATTTGTAGCTCCCGAATATTTTTGATTTTAGTGAAATCTACAGCGACATAAAGTTGACGTAACTCTCACGTTGAGGGTGAATCACTATAAATCTTATGTGCTTTTTTTTTGCTTTTGATTCGTGTTCTTGAGGAAGAATTAGATCCGTAATTCCTAACAACATATTCGTGTACTCAATTTCTGTTCATTCATGTATTTGCTTAGGTATCAGTACTGCGGAGTTTCTTTGCTTAGGTAACAAAATATTAAGAAATGCGGAGTTAGTCTCTAATATTGAAGATTATTCTGTTGGTTTATGGTGTTTTCAATAAGATCGTTTCGTATTTTGTGTTCCCTAACTTATTTCTAAAAATAATTTAAACAAATATTATTGTATTAATTTTTTTTAATATAATGATGGATGTTATTTAGATAAATATGTTTTTTTAGTCTCTCAAATAATATAATATTTTAGAATAATCAGTACAACATATGAATGTTTTTGGTTTTTATCATGAAAACATAACTTAGTAAATTTAGACAAATTATTTATATTTTCCGAATCACTGAATAATTATTGGTTATTATTATTGTTATACGGTTTCTCGCTTCGTCTCCTCTGTTTATCGAAATCTTTTAACAACGGAGCTACTTTGTTGTTACCTCTTCCATGATCTACTATCACAGCGTTTCGATTTTACGGCATTTTATTACATGGTGGTATATATGAGTCAAGGTTCTTCGCATGTTTATTGTTCGTTTATTTCCTAAGGATGCTCTACGTTTGATCCTTCTGGATGATAAGGTAATTATTGTTTCACTTTGTAGATATTTTATAGTCTAAAAGATTATTTCTGTTAGTTACTAATTTGACTATCTCTTGAATATAGGGTTTTAAGATCTATTGTTGGGTTAATAGTGACTTTGCGAGCCGTTATGCTGAGCTCTTGAAGGAAAACTTGTGGTTTTCTATCACCCAATTTCGTGTTCTAGCTAACACTGATTCGGTCCGGCTTACCAATTGTGCTTTCATGATATCTATTTTTGGGATGACTGTCGTTCTTGATGCCGATCCACCAGCTGTTGAGCCGTGTAATGATTTTACTCTGTTTTGTTCGATAGTCGACGGAACAGTCAACGAGACTGTCTTGGTTGGTAAGTTATGTATAGTACTTATTGTATTGATTGTGTTTGTTGAAATCTGTCCGAGTGGTATATTTGTTTGTTTCTGTCTGAGTGGTCTTTTGTTTGTTTTTAAAATAGACGTGATAGGGGTTTTGTTTGATGTTGGCATATTGGTGAATATCGGGACGAATCCAATGGATCTCGATGGTCTGGGACTAACTTTTCGTATATGTGGGTCATGGTCAGTAACTTATATCTTTTTCCTTCTCTTTTATGTTTTGGAAAATTACTCATGGGTGTTGAATGTTAATTATATATTTTTAATTGTCCATATGTGTTTTCTCGATTACATTCAAGTGGGAATACCCTTGATGGTTTGGTGTCAGGACGTGCGGTGTTGGAATTCCATAAAAACTATGATTCATGTGCTGGTAGGCCTTTGGTTTGTGTTCTACGTCTGTGGAAGGTAGAACGGTACTTTGATGGTCCAAAGAACGTGAGGATTGTTAACAGGGGACTCATTTCAAAGGTTTTACCATGTCCATATGTTCCGGAAGCTGCTGATTTTCACTCAATGTGAGTATGTTTTTTTTTAAATATGTTATTATGTGTCTGTTGTCGTATTAAGTGGTTTATTTGGTTTGCTATACTAGGCCCTCATAGGTTGTTGGTGAGACAAATGGTGCAGACTAGCGATATTCGTCGTTGGAAGGATACTTTGATGCATTATGAATTTTGTTAAGTTGTGACTTGTATTTGTGCCCATAGAACTGTAATGTGTTCTTTTATTTTTGTTTACCGACAATCTTGATCTGTATGACATTAAACTTATGATGTTAATCAATTCTTACAGTGTTGATGGATCACATTTTTTTTTATGCTAAAACGTGTGTGTGTTTTATAATGATCTACTATACTGTTACCAATTAAAAGCATGTATACAAAACTTAATAGCTGTGTATTTATTTTTCTAATTGTTTTGGCCGGTATATCGATTTGTTTTTGTTTTCTTTCTTTGTTTGTGTCGTGGTACATGTTTAGTTTTTGTTTAAGATAAGCTGTCATATGGTATCCTCGATTTAAATTTTGCTGTGGTTAACACATATATAAGAAATTATTGGAGATTTTTTTGGGGGTCGTCTACGTAGTTTGACATGTGTGTACTTTAAATTTTTGGCCTAACCAATCTTTATAGTCATGCGTGTAAATTTAAGTTGTGAATATCTTGTCAGGTTAAAACGAATAGTGATGGACTTGGCCTAAAGAAATTATGGTTAAATTCTTTGCAGACTAACAGATGCCATGCAGGCTTTCGATTTATGTTAGTTGATACGTCTTGTAATCTATATATAATAGCAATCTAATAAATACCATTTGTACATCTGAACAGTTGAGTCTTTTTATCGCAACCTTTCGTTTAAATCGGTTATTTTTTTACGGTTATTTTGGTTGCGTCTTTTTATCGCAATTTTTGTTTTAATCGGTTATTTTTTTACGGTTATGTCGTTTCCAATAAATACCATTTGCACATCTGAACGGTTGCGTCTTTTTATTGCAACCTTTCGTTTAAATATTTATGGTTGTTTTTCTTACAGTTATTTTTGTACGGTCATGTTGTTTTATTGAATTTCTTTTTACGTAAACCAATAAACTACATATAAACATTTTGCTATGCTGATGTAAACTATGAAATAATTCACCAGTCATTCGTAGTTACATTCGTATGCTGATGTAAATGTTTTTTTTTTAAACATTTTAATCATCTACTGTCGGTGTAACTTTTCATAAATTATTATTTTTTATTTTTTATTTTAAATTACTAAAATGTAACTACTTAATTGAATTGTTACAACATTTGGTTTTGTTTTAGAAACCGTTGTAATATTTAGTGTATTTGATGAACCATTGCAACTTTGGATATATTTGATATATACGGTCGCGTCTCTCGGTTAAAGTTTATCATTTAAAAAAAAAATTAATTACTAAAATAGATTTAAATGAACTGCTGCTACCGTTTAATTTAACATAATAGCATACATTTTGGCTTATTTATCAAAACCGTTGTAACCTTTAGTTTATTTGATGTCTTTTGCTTGAGAATAGCTTTTAGTTACAAATTAATATTTTTAATACTAATATACTTAATATGTTACAATTCATTATGACTTTTGGTTTGATACTTTTTAAACGATTTTTGAAGTACTTTCCCCCGCGTCATCGCGGGGGTCCTGATTCCTAGTTGTATTAATGTGCATGGTCAATATTCATACATGTCTCGATAATAACTTTGTCGGTTTGGGAGATTTTCCGATGCAAAACATAGTAACGGTAAAAAATAAAGTTTTGGAGCTTAAATTTTGAATTTGGAAAGAAATATATTTTTTAAAACGTTTTTATAATAAAATTTGAAGATTTCTGGCTTATTGTTTTGCTACATATATAAAAAAAATGTGCAGCAATTATTAAAAAAAAACGGATGAGATGTCGACGATTTAAAACCGATTAAGCTTTGCTGGTCTGTCGAAGTTAAGGTACTTAACAATTGGCGTGAGATATCTGAAGCCGGTCATCGATCTTTACGAATGATTTTGGCTGATAAACGGGTAATCATGTTCGTTTAAGTTTATTGATGTTTGTCGTGTCTAAATATTTTGTTCTTATGGATATTTGGGGTTCTGTTCCTGCTTTTTCATAGGGTTCTATGATTGAGGCCAAAATCAACTCGGAACTCATTTCTAAGTACAATTCCGAATTCAAAGATGGTGAAAGGATAGTTGTCCATCATTTTCAATTAGAGATGGTAACTCGGGATAAGAGAACTACTAATCATATTTATCGGATCAATTTCCTTCCTTCGACCAATCTGAATCCGATACCTGCCAAAGACGCTCTTGTCTATGCACTATATGAAGTCTCTTTCTGTGACGTTTTGGCTTATGAACTCAGCAGATCTCATTTGATAAGTAAGTCTATATATTATGCTTTAATTGTGTTAATTATTCTGCTTTGTTTGTTTTATTTTATTTTTCTATTTTTTGTTTACCGCCAGATTTGATAGGATATGTTGTCAATATTGACGAGATACAATATTCTGACCCAAATAAACGAAGCCGTGATAATGCGATGACTGACTTCAAGATTAAGGACGCAGGGTGAGACTATTTTCTTTTACCTATATTAGTCTCATTTCTTAATGCTTAGAGGGGGTAATGTTTACATTGGTGTGTTGTAGCAATTATATACTGTCGTGTGTTGCCAACGGAGATTCTGCTGAGCATTTTCACGAGGAGTGGAGAAGGATTAGACGTCCGTGGATTGTTTGTGTATTACAATGGTGGGATATTTATAAAGTTCCAGGTATGTATTTAATTTATGTTTTATATATTTGAAACGATTGTTACTCTGCCTAGCTACGCTAACATGGATTAGTTTTTTTAATTTCGGCAATTTTTCAATCTAATAAAGTTGATGCAACGTTTTATTTCAGGACGTATGGTTATTCAATCCGTTGGTAGATGCAGTCGTTTGGATCTGAATCCGAATATGCATGAGGTTGATGAGTTCAGAGAGATGTAAGAATGTTTTGATGAGTCGGTGCGATCTTTAAAATATAATTGCTATTGCTTGGTGTTAATCTTAAATCATTCAACGTTTAAAGTTGTTAATAGCTGATTATTCATTTATAACTACTGTTGTAGGTCGTCTGGTCGGTTTGTTGGTGAACCAGGGTCTTTCCGATCTGGTATCGGATATCAAATCAATGTATTACCGAGAAATGCCTGAAAGGGATCTACTCTTGATATCCAGTTTTAATTAAAATGTTTGACACTTATACTTTCTACGGGTCATCACTACGATGTTTAAAAGAACATGTTTACTTAAAAAAACTATATTTAAAATTATTTTTATATATTCTAATGGTGTGGTGATTGGTTCGATTGTTTTGGGAACTTTCTTATACCCAAATTATTGAAAAATTTAAGCATGTTCTTCACAAAATAATAGTATGATATACACGATTTCGGAATACTTAGCCTTTCGCTGCAGCGTTGTTCCCCGCGCAGGGCGCGGGTCAACCCCTAGTCAATTATATACCTTAAATATTGGTAGAAACAATATTCGTAAAGATATTATTCTGATCTAATTCTATATACCTAACACATTCGAGCTGACCTTTTTACCTATAAATATAGATGCCTAATGCCATTGAAGATACACATTTATCTTTCACCACGAAAACTTAGCTGTTTCTACTCCTTAGAACTATGCATTTGAACAGAGATTTTGAGTTAGAGGTACCAATTATTATTGCATCTTTCTTAAAAAATTTTTTTTATCAAATTATGTTTTACTATAACACCACGTTTTTGTTCTTTGGTATTTATAGATCCAAGCTGGTTTTAAGAAGTACTTTTTCAATAATGGTGTTACTCAAATCAATTTGGTAATTTGAGTAGAAGAAATGCTATCTCTAAAGGTTTGAGAGATTCTATATTTTGAACTAAGTGTTATGTTATTGTTTTCTTTTTTTTGAGAATCTGAATCCTTATATTTTGAACAACTTAACTTTGTTAAGACAAGTTAATGGTTTTCTTAAGCTATATGAAGTAAACCATTTCACTTACAGAAGTAGTAAAAGTGATTATTTCATACAATTCCATAAATTTTAGTACGTTGCATTTCTTATTTACTACTTTGTTTAAAAAATATTACGGGTAAACACTGTTATTTATATGAACTAACATCAAGTACACTCAATCACATAAGGTAAATATGGAGTTGTATTAACTAAAGTCTATAAAACTCAATAGATCTACCTTTTGACATATAGTTTTGAGGCTTTGCTCTAATGAATAAATATTATAGACTCCTCCATATTCTGTTGTTACCAAATTGAAGCTTTATTTGAAAACATTAATTTACCTTTATTACATGATTCTGCAGACCTTATATTTATTTCAAGTTATATGAAGTTAAATTCTGCAAACAGCTAAATTTTGTTAAGTTAAAGTTAATTTTTTACTATACCTATATGAAGTTTTTTTTTTTTAGACACAAACCTATATGAAGTTAACAATTTCGTTTGCAGAAGCATACCAACATTTTTATAACTTTCCATATCTTATTAAGTACTTTGATTGAAACATACTACGGGAAAACACAATTTTCTACGTGAACTAACATCAAATACACTCAATAACAGAAGGTAATTATGAAATTCTAATAACAAAAGTCTATAAAAGATAATCTCACTAACCTTTCACATATAGATTTGAGGCATTGCTCCAATGAATAGATTTGATAGCCTCCATATTCTTATGTTGCTCCAAGTGAAGCTTTACCTGAAAACATTTAATTTAGTTTAATACAAGATTCTGCAGATTTGATATTAGCTATTGTTTCGTATAAATCTTATCAGTTTGTAGCCTTTGTTTATCTTCCTCTAATGTGAACATCATTAAACAAAATTGTAAATTGAAATCTATATGGAAACTAAATTAACTCTTAACTCTTTCCAAAAAATACAATGTATTGATACGATTAGCAAGGCGTACAAAAAATAGCTCGATGCACTGGTAATTAAAGTTTCTTTTTCCTACTCTATCAAACAATTTAAAACTAGATCTTATCAAATTCGTATTCTTCGATAAATTATAGTGAAAACATAATGATGAAAATTCAATTGACAATGATTACTCATAGAAAATCCGGCATCCTGATGCTGCATCGCCAAGAACACTATGCAAACAAAAAATTACTCAGATTTGGATTTCAATCGCCATATAAAAAATGGTTTAAAGTATAAATCAGATTCAATAATAAGCTTACCTCTTCAAAGAATTCACAATTTACAAAACGGAGAAGAAATAGAAGAATTACATGAGATTTCGTAAATTAGACTTAGATTGATCGAGTATGATAATTTTGATCGCTGGGTGTTTTTTTTTTTTTTTTTGATGAGACAACGACTTGTTTTTTTTTTTTAATGTTCAGTCGGTTTATATAAACTGAAATATTAAATGGGTTAAGGAGAAATGTATTATTAACATCATACTCGGCCCAAAACAAAATAACTCTCCAACACTAATGGGCCAGAGATTAACAGTTTTTTTGAAGAATCATATTTTCAATTACAATATATTAAATTATAAAGATTTCTATTTAAATTACCAATTATATAATTTACAAGTTACTAAATTTCATATATAATCTTTAAAATTTTAATATTTAAATTATAAATTTTACACACATGAACTTCTAGAACACACTAATTTATAAACACAAACAAAAATTTATCAAATATTATGACAAGCTTATGATATATATTCTATTATATATTTCACTAACACAAAAAAATATCATTACAAACTTTAAGCAAAACCATTTACTAAAACATACAACCCGCACGACTGTGCGGGTCAGGATCTAGTTAGAATTAAAATTTTACTATTTCAAAAACATTATTTGACAGTAAATCACAAAGGTTAATTATAATGGAATTCATTTATACAAACGATATACATAAATTTAAAAGTTACATTCATCTTCGTCTGTCTCAAGCTGTGGAATATTTAAGACCTTATATATCTTGAGGTCATCGCAAAACTGAAATTTAATTAAGAGTACAATTCGGGCCACCATTAAGAGTGGTGTTGAATCCACTGTCAACGTAATTCGCGTCTAATTTGTGGTTGTTTTCTTCTCCATTAGAAAAATATTTTATTTTGTTGTAGTTGTAGAGAGAACCTATCAAGAAGTACTCATAGTTTTATACGAAGGAAAGTATATAATTACATTTTTCTTTAAAACATAAATTGTGAAATTCACAAGGGAAATAATAAAAGAAACAAGCTTTCCATGACATCACATAAACGATATTTTCAAATTATCTTGCTCCAGGGGAAAATTCGGAAGCTGAAGAAGTGTAATTAAAGTCGGTAGAACCTCTTGTGTGCATCTCTTCACTACCTTGACGCCTTGCATTTTCAAAGGCTACACACTCATTTAGCTCAATCACAACCTGTGCCATTGTTGGTCTTAGGTTCGAAGACGGGTTCACACAAGCAAGAGCCAACTCCACAATCTTCCATGCACCGTTTATGTCATAGTCCCCCATCAGTTTCGGGTCAACGATGCTCTTGATGTCTCCTTTGGTGAGCATGAACCCAACCCATTCATTAATGTGAGGTCTCTCTCTTGATTTATCTATCACAAGCTGGTTTGTGACTATCTCTAATAGCACTACACCAAAGCTGTACACGTCACTTTTCTCGCTTAGCCAGTTTGTTCTATAGTACCTGAAAAGAGTATCAAATGAATTAAAAAAATTCATAATTATCTGGACTTACCAACACAACTCTACAAAAATTTACAGATTTACTTACTCAGGGTCTAGGTAACCAGGTGTGCCTGCAACAACTGTCGATACATGACATTCGCCATCAATTGGGAAAGATCTCGAGAGCCCAAAGTCGGCTAGTTTCGCTCCACAACGCTCATTCAATAAGATGTTAGTAGTTTTCACATCTCTATGGACCATAGGAGGCGTACATCCATTGTGCAGATACTCCAATCCTGTTAAAAATGGTTCCTATTTATGTCAAGTTTGCTTTGAGACATCATAAAAAAAGAATATCAAGAAACAATTTTTTCTGGTAATGACTCAGACAAAAGTAAAGAGCATATTTTTCTTCACCTTGTGCCGCCTCTACGGCTATTTGCATCCTGTTTTTCCAAGTAAGGATATTGCCTCCACGTTTTCCTATACCGGGTTGGGAATATTTTTAGACTGCGAAAAGAGATGGATTCGATTAAATCAGAGTCTCTAAGTTAAAAGCTTTACCTGACATATTCTCCTTCAGGTCTCCATTTGCCATATATTCATAAATCAGTGCCAAGTTATCTCCATCATCACAGTAACCCACAAGTCCCACCAAATGTCTATGATGAACTCTTAAAAGAAGTTCAACCTAATAAGAAAAAAAATAACAAAATGAATGAGACTTGAGCATCTTCCAAGTTCAACATAAAGAAAAAGTGACTAACGGATCTATTTCTTGTTTAAGTACCTCTGCTTTGAACTCTTTATAACCTTGAGCCGATGAATGAGAGAGCATTTTTACAGCTACTTGAGCATCATCCAAGTTTCCGTGATACACTGTTCCAAAGCCTCCTTTGCCAAGAACTCTCTCGAAGTTGTTAGTCATCTTCAATACCTCGGGATATGTGATCCTGCGATCTTTTGTCATGATTGATGGATTGGATGATCTTGTCTCACTTTTAACTATACCACTAGTGACTGATGGGGGTGGTCCTGGAGCTGTAAATTCATACAAAAAAGGAATAGGCTAAAAATTAGAAAGTTTCATTTTAGACTATTCTCAAGACTCAGTCTGGTTATTCATGCATACCCTCATTACGTTTCCCCTTTTTTCCTCTAACAATGAAAAAGATGGCCAATATTAATAGCAGAGCGAACACGCCAGCCACTGACGCTGCAATAGTAACCATTGGTACCTTTTTACTCTCTTTTTTGGGAGTGGGATTCAGTACTTTTTCACCCAAACTGTAAGGATGAGAAACTGAAGAGAGTGAGATATACTTTCCAATTGACTCGAGACCAAATGAAGTTAAGGATGATAATCTTACATTAGTGTTAAAGATTTGCTGTTTACTCTTTGCTGAAGAGAGTCTGGAACTGTGAGATTGAGCTTTGGGTTTCCGCTTAGATTTCTGTGAATATTTAAAAGACTAAATCGTTTAAAGCAAAAACAATAAGTGCAGAGAAAGAATAAGAGAGTATGTGAAAGAAGCTCACATTAGTTTCAACGACTTCATATCAGCCAAAAATGCTGGAATCTCTCCTGACAAATCATTATTTGATAAATCTCTGTTCATTAAACAGAGAAAAAACAGAGTTATTACTTTCTCACACCGCAATAAAGCATATGCAATTCTAAGTTTATCGGTGTACAATTAAGATGCTTACAGCTCGCTCAACTGTGTTAGCTTGGTTATGTCAGATGTTATGGTACCGTTCAACTGACTCGCATTCAAGTTCCTAATGTTTGTGAAACAAAACAAGTATCCATAATGGTTAGAATTTGTTAAAGCGCCAAAACCAAAGAACCTTGTGATCAGTGAAGAATACAATACATACAAGGATATGATTCGTGATGCCTCGGAGTCCGGATAACTACAATTTAGACCTTCCCACCGATATAGCTGAGGAGCACATGGATCTCCCTGCCAGCTTATCTTTTTACTCAAACCATATGTCGTTTTGATGTTCATGATTGCAGAAACTGATTATCACATTCAAACTCATCAGAAACCGAAAAAAAAAAGATAAAACTTAAAAGGTCGACAATTTCAATCAAAGAATGGCTTACCTTCGTCCTTGTCTGTGTGAAGCTGTAGAATGTCTACACCTGTGTATATCTCAAGGGCGTTGAGAAGGGGTGGAAGAGTTGAGTTACTAGTCATTTCGAAAGTGAAATTATACACGCCATTTGAAGAAGTCAAGGGGACTTGACTGTACATGGTTATAATGCTGAGTTTGTTAGGCCTAAACTGGGGATACCAGAGCTTGCCACCATTGTAAGTAATGTTGAATTCTCTACTTTCATTGGCTTTTAGATTCTGAATTTCTGCGAAATGCATATATACATATGACAGCGCAGTTGTGTTCTCTATAGTCCAAACTAAGCTCCATGGCGCACTAGCATTTTTAGGGATAGCAGCAGTCTTCATCACGGCTTGAGGCACATCATAGAAGTTATTTGTTTGGACCTCGAGGTCCGTGCTTATCGATGAGGAACCATCATCTGAAATTGGATTCCAGACTCGGTCGTGTATGTCCTCATCATACCTGAAGAGATGCTTGTTTTTCATTAACTCGAAACACACAAAGAACAACAAGTAGAAAAATTATGGTTGCCTAACAAGATTTGTTATTTTATTATTAGTATTTTTTTTTTTTAAATACTAGGAGGTTCTAGGCCAAATTCTGTAATCCCCCAAGCCCAAAACCACAGCATGTAATATTTGTTATTTATTACCTGATGATAGATGTTGAATCAGATGAAAAGTATCTACTTTGCAAGACCAATGATCCACTTTGCGCGATGTAAGTGCCTTTTTGCAACGGACGAAGTTCCAGCGACGAAATGAACGGTGTCGTCTTTCCCGTCTTAACAAGACAGACTTGAAGACGGTCTTGTGTTAAGACATGGATTATCTCGGGCATTACGGTATCTGTTTCTTCTATTATGTTAACAGAGGTCCATTTGCTAGCACCGATGTGAAGATCAAAGCTTGGGGATTGATTCAGGCCGTCATAATTCCCATACATAAAAGTTCCTCTGATCAAATATGTTCTGTTCACGGTAAGGTTGAAGTTGTAACAGTTTCTTTGACCCTCAGGGAAGCTTCTCACGGCCCAAAGCGGTTGTTGAACCAGTGTTTTGTGTGCATCATTGATCTTCCCGACCAATCCGCTGTCGGTGTAATTTGCGTCTGATTTGTATGTTATATTCGTCGTGGCCTCCAAGTAAGTGGTTTCTTTAGGCACCAACCCACAATCCAAGCTGATGAATCCTGTTCATGATCAACAACAGAAAATATAAAACACTTTTAAAAAGAGTTGTTAAAAAAACAATAATATTTTGCGCAAAACAAAAACATAATCATGTTATCAAGAACCTGCTTGATTTTGAGCTTCCACGGGTCTTGAAACTGTAAAAGCTACGATCAAAAGGAGCAAAAACAAATCAAGAGACTTCATTTTCTTGGGTAAGGTGGTCTGGTTCAGAGAACGCTATTATTCATTTTCCATTGCTGTTGATAAACTGAGATAACATAAAACTGGTCAATTTATTTGAGTCTAATGCGCTGTGTAAACTTTGTGCTAAGTCTTCAACAACACCCTTACTTGCCTACAACATTCTTTCAGGTTCAAATTGTATAAATAAGATCAAGTAAAATTAAAAAATGTGATATCAAATATATTTTAAAATATATAATATATCACTACTTCTTTTTATTCATTTAAAATAAAATCAATCATATTTTAAAACCTTCAATTGACGTTAAATATAACCTCTATGGATTAGAAAAACAAACTAACGAAATTTGAATGGTTGATAATTTAGGGAATTGTAACCTACAATTACAAAGAGCTGACTTTAATTATATATGTGTAAAATTGTACCGCATCTAATTTCGCCATGATATATATAACTACCATTAGGCCTACGTGAATATTACTTTAGTGATTCAAGGCGTTCAACTATCCAAGAAAATAAATAACTAAGATGCATTAGCCTATCATAAATAATTTTTTTAACCTTTGTTTCTTATTTGTGGGCAGATCTAGACCAAACCCAACCCCAACAAACAGGTCGTGTCAACGAGTCATCCATCGGATACTTAAATCAAACAAGTATTACACTACAAGAAATATCTACATTATTAGCAAGAGAGAAGAGCTATTATATGTCATTAATAGCGTTTTAATAAACGCTGTCTTATGCCCCTGTTATGGTAGACCCCCCACATACGATAACGTGTTTTCTGTATGCTATCGTAGAGTACTCTACCATAGCATTAGTAAAACGCTTTGTTATATTGTCTTTCTATTTGTTATAAATTATGTGATAAGTCATTTTTCATGCTATGTTAGGTGCTCATTTTAAACGCTGTGATATATTTTGTTAGGACTCTTATTTTGTGCAATAATACTTGCGTTTTATGTGCATATTATTTCACATTTGCGAAACCTCTTTTGAAATTTATATTTCATAAATCATCCACACCATACAAGTAAAATGTCTCAATCCAAGGCTTAAACTAAGATTACAAGTGCCAAAATTAACAAATTTGTTCTCATCGAAGCTAAGCCTAATTTCTAATCTGTGTAGATTTTGGGCTGCACTCACTTGGGACTTGACTTGAGACTGCACTTGAGACTGCACTTGAGACGTCAATATCTTGGGCTACACTCACTTGAGACAGCAAAACAAATTAGCTCTGACAAAGAACATTTATAATTTATCCACAAAACAATCACAACCACAGTAAAGTACTAAAACCAACAAAAGAGATAGAGATAAGATGTATCATTTACTCACTTCTTCTTGTCAATGTAAGGAACATCACTCTGTATAGCCTTCCCACATTCACCTTTATTCAGTTTCTAATTAGAAACATAAGCTAACATTGTAAAGGGAAAGTTTAGAAAACATACGGGAACTCTGTTGGGGTTCGCTCTTATACGAGTAGATTCAGCCATTCTCATCTCTGAGATGAAAACAATGCCATAAAATTTAGTCACAGCTAACGGATCATACAAACACATGAACACATCTTATAGCTTAAAGACATGTGATCCAAGTAACTTCTAGTAAAATTCCAGAAGAAAAGAAACACACTATAGCCAAATCACCTTATTCTAAACATGTGTAGCTTGTGTGAATGATAGATACTCAGCAGAAATACCTTTCTCCTTCAGCGACATTACTTGATTTTCCTAAGTAGAAACAAAAAAAAACGTTTCTTCAAAACCATTAACAAAAAAGCTTAAAAGAGAGAAGAACACAAAAAAAAGAACAATGCACTTACCATCAAGGCTGAGAAGTTAAAAAACACGAGAGCATGATGGTGGAAACAAAGCAAATCGTCAGAGATACCAATCAAAACAAAGATTCTCCATTAACGAATCAGAATAAAAATTACAGATTACCAATCAAAAGAGACACAACAAGGACGAGATAAAACTCGTATTGTGTTAATTATCACTTTACCTGTGAGGCTAAATCGAGATAAAAACCCAAAACCCAAAACTTTTCTGGTTTCTCTCTTTTCAACGGTGGGTTTTTACAAGCTTCTCAATGCCCTACAATACCAAATCACATCAAGAGGAAGACAAATAAAAACAAACCCAAAGTCTGATTCAATTCAAAATCAAATCGAAATGAGAAGCAAATTCAAAATCAACCTCCTTGCAGACCCTTTCTCTTTTTATGAGATCATGAACAGCTCCCAAACCTCTCCTATTTCTATCAATCGAGCAATGAGCAGACAAATTTTAGGGTTTAGAGAAAAACAAAATCGAATTTGTTACTACGCACCAGCCATCGAGAGGGAAGTCGGTGCTTAAAAAGGGAATGACCGAGACATGAATCTCTCTCTCTCTTTGATTCCCGTTTCGTCGAGATTATTGTCGTTCATCTTCTCCCTTCCCGTGGCGATTCTCCTCCACGGTGACGCTGCCGATGGATCCGCCTCTCAGCTTCTTCTTCCTCCATCTTTCGCATCCTCGTCACCACCCTCGCGACTCCGTTGCTCCGTTGCTCCAACACTGAATCAAAATAACAATTCAGGCAAGGGTTTGTATTTGTTCCAAATCGATTCCAGTAGAAGAACGACAGATCTGAGAAGAAAGATCGGCCAAAAATAAAGAGAAGAAGCTGAAGAAGAAGTAGAGAGAAGAGAGAACAGATGTAGATCGGAGTTCTCCGTCAGATTGATTTTTTTTTTTGTTGGTATGATTTGTTTGTGGAGATACTACGGATCTAATTTTTTCTTTAAGTGGTGGCTGTCATAAACAATTTAGGTTTGCCAAATAAATTTTTTTTTATTTGGTTAAGTGGTGGGAGTTAAGTGTATTTTGAGAAATTGTTGGCGGTAGTAAGTGATTTTTGTTTTCCCTTTGCTATTAATTGGCATAGCGTTTTCTAAATGTTAAGATAGAGTTACCAACATCCGAATCCTATCTTTAATAGCAGTAACGGAAAATGCGCTATCGTAATGTGCTATCAATGCTCATATTTTTTGTAGTGTTATTTGAATATTATTTAACCTTTGATGGATATATTTTTAAGTTTATTCTTCATAATATATACGAAAAATTACCGTTCTACCATAATTTCTAAAAGAAATTTTATTTCTACCATTTCTCCATTCACCTTTTCAAATGTACATTGTATATATGGAATGTCTTTCCTTTCGTGTGCTCAAACACTGCCACCGATTCGACATTTTTGCTGCCCATTTTCTCTCTACATATCGTGAACTGTGCACATTAAACCCAACATATTTCGGGAACAACTGTATCTAAAATTCGGGGACAACTGGTAAATAATCGAATCCCCAATTTAATCTCATTTCTGCATGTTCTTTTAACTGGTTTTTGTCCCCCGATTTTAATTATTTATCCTTCGATTTTAGTCCTCCTAAATTCTAACTACGGTCTTTTCATTTTATTTGATGTTTATATTTCGTTTGATTATTGTCCCCGAATAGGATTTGTTAAAATCTTTCACCGATTTTTTAATTCACCCTTTCTGTTTTGATCTCCAGATTCTTGTCTTTAAACTTAATGATTTATAATTAAATTAAATCAGCTGAAACTTTCTTTCCATTAAATGCTTATGCTCCCTTTTGTCCGTATATCGGTTCATGTTTCACTTTAACTGACACATACCTGTCTCAGCAGCTGAAGACAAAACCGTCTTTTTATGCCACAATAACACATAAATGTGGTATGAATGGAAAAGAATTATCAGATGTGGTGGAATGTAAAAGCTTTTAGTGGAAAGTGGTAGAATTGACCAAATTCCTAACAAATGTTAATACACTCTATATATATATATATATTCATCTACACTTAGACCGAATTATTTAACACTATAATTATTGTAACATTCTATATATGAGTTTATCAGTATAAAAGTGTCAAAATCGTGTAAAATATTCATTGGATGTCCATGCAACTAGGTTAGTTGTTTAAAAAAAATTATTTTTTGGATGTCCATGCAACTACGTTAGTTGTTTACATTTTTTGATTCTCGTCTATATTCAAATTTGATATAGCTCGAGTTAATACATGTTGTATTTATTAGCAATCACTTCGTTCTTTCTGTTTAAATGTCGATGTCGGTTCAACTAGAGTCGTGACGAAAGGACTAAAATGTGGGTTGCAATACCTTAGGATCCAATCGAAATTAACTGGAAGTTCACAAGAGATTGTAAGAGATCTCAAGAGGGTAAACGGATCTTTTCAACGTCTTCGTTGTTGAGATGAAGCCAAGTATTCAAATACTACTCATGTCTATCACATTAATACTATAAATCAAAATAACAACAAATTGAATTTTAGTTTAGACATGGGCAGCATTTTTATGGGTCAAATTTGTTTTTTTTAACTGAGGTTTCTCATTTGGGTTGGGTTTTCAAATCGATTTTTTTCTGGGTTTAATCAACATGGGCTAGGTTTGTTTCATTGTTGGATTAGTTTGGGAGATTTTTGTCATATATTGCCGAGAGTAATTTTTGTCATAGACTTTGTGCTAAGTATTCAACATTAAGATTAGTCAAATGATCCTATACTATTATTTGGGGAGTACACTTTATAAGATACCCTTAACTAACCTTCCCTTTTGTAAGAATTTACTTAAGAATGTCATTAGAGATAAAATTTCAAAGAGCAAATTAATTCATCTCATTAAAGATAAACAAGTCAATTTATGCAATTTAATTAATTTAATTTAATTATAAAAACGAAAAATATATTATTATTATTATTATTAAATGACCAATCAAAATAAATATATAAGATTTGATATCTAACTTACCTTATTAATTTGTTATTAATCATTATATTTCACCTCTCATCTTTATATGATTATATTATTAAGAAACAAATAAATCATTATATCATCCATATAATAATAAAAAATATATTTTTTTCCGCATATGCCATGATTTGAATTTTTTAAAACGAATATAAATTATTCAATTTATGAAAAAAAAATTTAACGAGTCAAAAATTTAGACTTGGATGATATATTTCTTTTAGACAAAAATTCCGCCTGAATAACGGGTCAGAATTTGAGTAATTATATTCAATTTCATATATTTTTTAAAAATATATAATTTTATATACTACGAGAAAGTTTTAAATATTTTAATTTAGAATATTTAAAAATAGTTTTACTTGATATTTAAAAACCAATATCATCAATACTTAATAAATAAAAAATAAAAAATTATACATATACTAATTTGGTTTTCTTAAAACAAATATATAAGATTTGATATCTAACTTACCTTATTAATTTGTTATTAATCATTATATTTCACCTCTCAGTTTTATATGATTCTATTATTGTGAAACAAATAAATCATCATATCATCCATATAATAATAAGAAATATCTTTTTTTCCGCATATGCCATGATTTGAATTTTTAAAAATGAATATAAATTATTCAATTTATGAAAAAAAACTTAACGAGTCAAAAATTTAGACTTGGATGATATATTTCTTTTAAACAAAAATAAATTCAACAAAAATTCTGCATGAATAACGGGTCAGAATTTGAGTAATTATATTCAATTTCATATATATTTTTAAATATATAATTTTATATACTACTATAAAATTTTAAATATTTTAATTTGGAATATTTAAAAATAGTTTTACTTGATATTTAAAAACAAATATCATCAATACTTAATAAATAAATAAATAAAAATTATACATACACTAATTTGGTTTTCTTAAAACAAATATATTTAAAAATTATTTATAATGGTTTAAAATATATTTAAAAATTGGTTTTCTTAAAACAAATATATTTAAAACTAATTTTGTTTTCTTAAAACAAATATATTTAAATATTATTTATATATATTTCTTAAAATTATTTATAATGTATTATATGATGGAATGAGTTATGATCCTTATAACTATTTGAATATTTATATTTATGTTCATACAATTATTTTTTAAAAATTCTTAATTATATATTCTACAATAAAAAATAAAATTATTTTAATTTGGAAAATTTTAAAATAGTTTAATATAATATTTTAAATAATATCATAAATATTTAATAAATCAAAAGATAAAAGTTATAAATACTCTAATTTCATTTTTCAAAGCATAAATATTTTAAATATTTATAGCAAGCAGCATGTTAAATGTAATGTGTTATATGATAAAAAGAGTTATGATCTTTATAACCGAAACCATGTTAAGATTATATGATGAGATGAGTTAAATAAGGTTTGACACCTCTAAATATTTAAAATTTTGATTCTATAAGTATATATGAAAATAATGAATGATGGATTGTGTACACAATTTTTTCATTGGGATTCTAAAATAAAAATATAGGTACGCACGAGTTGAATATTATCTTATTATATACCAAAATATGTTTATTATATACACAATTTTTTCACTTACTACTAGCATATATCAAATACATACGTTTTATTTTTAACCAAAAAAACGTAAAAAACCGTAAAAATCGAAATGTAACTAAACTGAATTACATACGGTTTCTATATGGTTTTACTTTCTACAAAACGAAAAAAACGATACTAAACCGAAAAAACCGTACCCCACCCCTAATATTTTCTCATCAAACAAAATAAAAAAAAAATAAAAAAATCTTTATATGTCATTGTATTATGTAAAAAATTATTGAAATTGTACTATAAAACAAACAATAATCCAACTTTTTATAAATATTTAAAAATTAAAATTTCATTCGTGCTGTTCCAGCACGGGTTATGATCTATATAGAAAACAGTTTTATACAAAATAAATTAGAGAATGTAGGGTTTTTAGTAAAAAAAATATATACGATTGGAAATAAATTTCAGAATTCAAAGATTTACGTAACTGTCAAAAAAAATGATTTTACATAATTAATTGTATACCAAAAAATATTTGGTTAAAAGTTTAATTAAAAAAGTCCATCTTCACATCCCATGTACATTGTTTCTTCAAAACACATTTAGAAGTTCCATAATATAACATCAAATATATTCTCTCAATTTATCTTGCTCCAGGGGAAAATTCGGAAGCAGAAGAGCGACTAAAGTCAGCAAAACCTCTTGTGTGCATCTCTTCACTACCATGTCGCCTTGCATTTTCTAAGGCCACACATTCGTTTAGCTCCATCACAACGTGTGCCATTGTTGGTCTCCGCTTTGAAGACGGGTTCACACATGCAAGAGCCAGCTCCACAATCTTCCATGCACCGTTTGTTTCATAGTCCCCCATCAGTTTTGGGTCAACGATGCTCTTGATGTCTCCTTTGGTGAGCATGAACCCAACCCATTCATTAATGTGAGGTCTCTCTCTTGATTTATCTATCACAGGCTGATTTGTGACTATCTCTAATAGCACTACACCAAAGCTGTACACGTCACTTTTCTCGCTTAGCCAGTTTGTTCTATGGTACCTGAATGAGTATCAAAGGAATAAAACAATTTGTATTCTTCTCTGGCAACAACAACAAAAAAAACTCTGAAATTTGATTGTTCTACTCACTCGGGGTCTAGGTAACCAGGTGTGCCTGCAACAACTGTCGCGATATGAGATTCACCATCGATTGGGAAAGATCTCGAGAGCCCAAAGTCAGCTAGTTTCGCTCCACACCGATCATTCAATAAGATGTTCGTAGTTTTAACATCTCTATGGACCATAGGAGGCCTACATCCATTGTGAAGATACTCCAATCCTTTTTAAGGTTGATATTGTATATGTCAATCTTTCTTACAGAGAACCAGACACATATTTTTGTGTAATGAAAAAAAAACTAGTCAGAATTTTGTTCACCTTGTGCAGCCTCTACAGCTATTTGCATCCTGTTTTCCCAGGTAAGGACATTACCTCCACGTTTTCCTAAACCAGGTTTTGAATATTTTTTAACCTGCGGAAAGAGATGGATTCGATTAAATCAGAGTCTCTAAGTTACCTGACATATTCTCCCTCAGGTCTCCATTTGCCATATATTCATAAATCAGAGCTAAGTTATCTCCATCATCACAGAAACCCACAAGTCCCACCAAATGTCTGTGATGAACTCTGGAAAGAAGTTCCACCTGAGAAAGATAACAAAATGACCATTCATGCTTAAGAAAGATGTAAAAACAATTAGACTAACTGATCCATTTCTAGTTAAAGTACCTCTGCTTTGAACTCTTTATACCCTTGAGCTGATGAATGAGAGAGCATTTTCACAGCCACTTGAGTATCATCCAAGTTTCCATGATAGACTGTTCCAAACCCTCCTTTACCAAGAACTCTCTCAAAGTTTTTAGTCATCTTGAGTACCTCGGAATACGTGTATTTGCGTTCCTTTGTTATGATAGATAGATTGAATGGTCTTGTCTCATTGTTAACTATATCGCTAGGGACTGATGGGGGTTCTGTAGCTGTAAAACCGTACAAACATTTGTAAAATGAATGGAGACAAGTTTTTATTTTTCATTAATCTTAAGACCCAGTTGTGTTACATACCCTTAATACTTTCCCCATTTTTCCTTCTAAAGATAAAAAAGATGGCTAAGATAACTAGCAGAGCAAACACGCCAGCCACTGACGCTACGATAGCAATTATCGGTACCTCTTTACTCTTGCCTTTGAGGGTTACAGTTTTGCTCAAACTATAATCATTAAAAGTGATGAGAAAAAGAAAAAAAAAAAAGAAACATGCTGAAGAATTTAAGATTGAATCAAGTGAAAGATAAACATCTTACATGAGTGTTAAAGATTTGCTATCTAATCTTTGTTGAAGAGAGTCTGGAATTGTGCTATTGAGACCTGGATTCCCACTTAAGTTTCTGCAAATGAAAAAACTTACATATTTTCTGAAGATTTCTGAACCAAAAAAAAAAAAAATGCCGGAGAGAGCAAAGTTTTACATGAGTTTTAGCAGCTTCATATCAGCAAAAAACGCTGGAATTTCTCCTGATAAATCATTTTTTGACAAATCTCTGTCCATTAGACAGAGAAAGCAAAGTTTTTGAAGAGTTAGATACTTCTCTCACTGCGATAAAGCATATCGAATAAATAACATTATCGGTGTGACAATCCGGGCACTTACAGCTCTATCAACTGTGTTAGCTTGGATATTTCAGGTGTTATGGTACCAGTCAACTTGTTCTCTGCCAAGTTCCTAATGTAATGTTGTCAAACAATAAAGTATCCAAAAGAGTTAGCATTTGTGAAACCTTGAATTTGAAAGAACCATGAGATCAAGAAACAGAACATACAAGGATATGATCCGAGGTTGATCAGAGTTTGGATAACTGCAGTTTAAACCTTCCCACCTATAAGACTGAGGAACACATGGATCGCCTTGCCAGCTAACCTTTTTGCTCAAATCATACGTTGCCTTGATGTTTACCATAGCAGAAACTGATCAATCATCACATTTCAAAAACCAAACAAAGTTAAAAGACAGAAAATTTTGATAAAATAATGGGTTTAAGGACATGCTTAACTTGCCTTCATCTTGATCTGTCTCGAGTTCTAGAAGGTCTAAGCCTTTATAAATCTCGAGGCCGTTGATTAGAGGAGGAAGAGTTGAGTTACCGGTTTTCGTGAAAGAGATACTGAAAATCCCATCCGGAGAACTCAAAGGTGTTGAACGGAATAGAGTTGATATCTCGAGTTTATCAGGCCTCAAATAGGAGTACACATTCTGGCCACCATTATAAGTAATGTTGAATTCTCTGATCTCACCATCCTTAAGAGTCTGGATTTCAGCGAAATGCATGTATACATATGATTGTGAAGTATTGTTGTCTAGAGTCCAATAAAAGATCAGAGGCTGACTAGCATTTGCAGGTACACAGGCAGTCTTTGCCACAGCTTGTGGCACATCATAAGGGTTACTTGTATCGACCAAAAGGTCTGTGCTTATCGATACCTTTGCACTATCTACGTGTCGAATCCAGATTCGATCATGGAAATCCTCATCATACCTATAAAACAAGAGGGAAAGCCACAAGAATCATTTTTGTTAACTCAAAAACATAGAAAACAAAACAAGAAAGGCCCCATCGTAGGTGCATCAATCAAAATTTAGCCGTTAGATGTTGTTTGTTTCTAAAATCGCTTTTTCCACATGGATGTTTGCATTTGGATACAACTTTTGCATCCGAAGATATCCATATTTTTGGATGCAAATGGTTTTTGCATTTAAAGGGAACATTTGGACGCAAATACCAAATTGGTCAAACTAGCAACATAAACGAAAAGGGCTAAGATACATTTAAAAATTCGTCTTTACCTTATGAATACTGGAGTGGGTGAAAAGAAAGCTCTTGCAACCGCGATCAACGATCCACTTTGCGTGAGGTAAGTATTATTGTTCAACGGACGAAGTTCCAGCGACGAAATAAATGGTATCCCTTCTCCTGTCTTAACAAGACAAACTTGAAGACGGTCTCTTGTTAAAACATGGATCATCTCGAGGATGGTTCCATTTGCTACTCCATCCAATTTAACAGAAGTCCATTTGTTAGGACCAATGTGAAGATCAAACTTGGGGACTTGTCTCAAACCGTCGTAATTCGCATAAAAAAAGGTTCCTCTGATGAGATATTTGCTATTAGCGGTAAGGTTGAAGTTGTAACAGTTTCTTTCACCCTCAGGGAAGCTTCTTAAGGTCCAACCCTGTTGCTGAAGCAGCGGTTTGTACTCATCACTGATCCTCCCGACCAATCCACTATCGATGTATTTTGCATCTGATTTGTATGTTATATTTGTCGTCTTCTCCGTATACATTGTGTCCTTAGGGACTAACCCACAATCCAAACTGATGAATCCTGTTGATGATTAACACCATAAATAACATTATTAGAGAAACAAATGCCAAAAGGGTTTCCTAATCTACAGAGTAGTCAAAGAAGCAAATAGTAAGAACCTGATTGATCTTGAGCTTGAACTGATTCAAAAATGACATAACCTGTGATCAAGAAGAGCAAAAACCCATGAATACACTTCATTTTTTTTTCTTTTCTTTTTTTTTTTTTTGCAGTGGGTGCTCTGATTCAGAAGAGGCTATGATCCATTTTTCTAGATTGGCAATTATTGAGATAACATTATATTGGTCAATTGATTTGGCATTCATAGCTTGTGTAAGCTTTGTGCTAAGTCTTCAACATTAGGTTCTTTTATTTTATTCAGGTGATTATTACAGTAACCCTTACGTGTCTACGACATTTTTTCTGGTTTCAGGCCGTTGGAGAGTTTTCAAATGTATATTATTGGGTAGACTTTTTACAAAAAAAATTGAAATCAATTAGTATTACATCTTTTTTGTAGGTAAAAAAAACTTTAACAAATTTTAAAATCAGTCAATTTAAATCAGATAGTAAATGTAAGTTGTATGGAGTCACGTTTATTTACCTTAGTATTTCTATTTTTGTATGTGATATGAAGTATGAACTATAGTAAATTATACACGAAATCATGTCATATTTGACTCCGAAAAAACTTTCAGTTGTTAACTTTGAATCTGTAGAGTCCGAATTTCTTGTTAACTTTTATTTCAAACTAAGTTTCCTAATTCTTTTACGTTCCCAGATCTCCAAAAGTACATTATGAGAACAGAGTAATCAAAAATAGTGCATCCAAGACCAGGCGTTTATGAGACTCGTACATAAAAGGCTAGTACGTTTTGCGGAAAATTTTACAGAGCTATCTTAAAAATTTCAATATGAACAATCCATTATTATTATAAACGGCATAGCTTGACAACACAAAGACAGTTTACCTAGCTAAAGGGGAGAAATCAGAAGCAGAAACTGGACTATACTTAACAGAATCCTTTGAGTACGTCGCTTGACTTCCTTGTTTCCTTTCGATTTCCATAGCAAGACATTCATTTAGCTCCATCACTACGTGTGGCATCGTCGGTCTGTGGCTTGAAGACGGGTTTACACAAGCTAAAGCCAGCTCTACAACCTTCCATACACCGTTTGTGTCATAGTCATCCATCAGTTTTGGGTCGACAATACTCCTGATATCCCCATTGGTAAGCATGAACCCAACCCAGTCATTGATATGAGGTCTCTCTCGGTTTTTATTTATCACAAGCTGGTTTGTGACTATTTCTAAAAGCACTACACCAAAGCTGTACACATCACTCTTCTCGCTTAGCCAGTTTGTTCGGTAATACCTGGAAAAAAAAAGAGAATCATAAAGAGAGATTACAATTCACAAATCTTCATAACTCGTTTCAGTATCAGAAAAAAGATTGATTCACTCACTCAGGGTCTAAGTAACCAGGTGTTCCTGCAACGACTGTCATGACATGAGATTCACCATCAACTGGAAAAGATCTCGACAGCCCAAAGTCGGCTAGTTTTGCTTGAGACCGATCATTCAATAAGATGTTAGTTGGTTTCACATCTCTATGGACCATAGGAGGCCTACATCCATTGTGTAGATACTCCAATCCTGTCACAAATGGTTATTGTTTATGGTTATTGTGTAATAGTAAAAAAAAAAAAAAAATCAGAGAGTTGTGTTCTACCTTGTGCTGCCTCTACAGCTATTTGCATTCTTGTTTCCCAGCTTAAGACATTGACACTGCGTTTTCCTGTACCGAGCTTTAAATGTTTTAAACTGCGGAAGGTGATGGATTTGACTGAATCAGAGTCTCTAAGTTAAAGTGTTACCTGACATATTTTCCCTCAAGTCTCCATTTGCCATATATTCATAGATCAAAGCCAAGTTATCTCCATCATCACAATAACCCACAAGTCCCACCAAATGTCTGTGATGGACTCTTAAAAGAAGCTCGACCTGATAAAATATCAAAATGACCATTTCACGACTGAGAAACTTACTGACATATAAAAAGCGAATATGGATCTATGTCTTCTTCAAGTACCTCTGCTTTGAACTCCTTATAACCTTGAGCTGATGAATGAGAGAGCATTTTTACAGCTACTTGAGTATCATCCAAGTTTCCGTGATACACTGTTCCAAACCCTCCTTTACCAAGAACTCTCTCAAAGTTTTTCGTCATCTTCAATACCTCGGAATACGTGAATTTGCGTTCCTTTGTTATGATTGATGAACTGGATGATCTTGCATCACTTTTAACCGTACCCGTAGTTACTGATGCGGGTCCTGAAGCTGTAAAATATAAATTTTAAAAAAAAATAGTAAGTAAAATCTGACATTAGTTTTCAAGACCCTGTTTGGTGATCATATTCATACCTTCATTAGTTTTCTGTTTTTTCCTTCGGATGAAAAAAATGATAGCCAAGATAACTAGCAGAGCAAACACGCCAACAATTGACAATGTGATAGCAACCACAAGAGTGGTTTTACTCTTTTTTTCAGTTCCATCTCTACTGCAATCATTAATTGATGAGAAAAGTTTCGTATATTTCCCATGACTTAGAAAAGGTTGAGATTAAATCCACTGAAATATGAAAAATCTTACATTAGTTTTAAAGATTTGCTTTTTATCTTTTCTTGAAGAGAGTCTGGAACTGAGCGATTGAGGTTCGGGTTTCCGCTTAAGTTTCTGTGAATGACAAAAGTAACTGAATCTTTCAGAAGAGCACACAAAGAACAGAGTGAGCGAAAACAGAGTTATGCATAGTCATTTAGAAGCTCACATGAGTGTTAAATTCTTCATATCATAAAAGATATCTGGAATATCTCCTGATAAATCATTCTTTGATAAATCTCTGCGCATTAAACATAGAGAGAATAATTATTCATTGCAGAGTTATGAGTTATCGTCTTTTTCCCACCGCATTAAACCATATCATAAATTAAGCTTATTGGTCTATGACAGTTCAGATGCTTACAGTTCTCTCAACTGTGTTAGTTTGGATATATCAGATGTTATGGTACCACTCAAATTGCTTCCACTCAGGTTCCTAATAGATAATCCAAGAGTTAGAACTTGTGATAAACAAGAAACTAAAGAATTGAAATGAACGAGCAAAACATACAAGGATATGATCCGCGGTGGTTCAGAGACAGGATAACTACAGTTTAAACCTTCCCAACGATATAACTCAGGAGCACATGGATCTCCTTGCCAGCTAGATCTTTTGCTCAAACCATACGTTGTCTTGATTTTCATCATAGCCGAAACTGATCAATCATTACATTTCGATAATCAGGAAATGTTAAAACTAAAAAGAACAGAAGATCTTGGTAAAATAATGGGTTTAAAAACATGCTTAATCAACTTACATTCATCTTGGTCTGTATCAAGCTGTAGAAGATCTAAGACTTGATAAATCTCGAGGCCGTTGATAAGTGGAGGAAGAGTAGAGTTACGGGTCATCGAGAAAGTGAAATTGAAATTCCCATCTAGAGAACTCACAGCTGCTGGATTGTATATAGTTGTTATACTGAACTTTGGAGGTCTAAAGTAGGAGTACCAATTTTTGCCACCATTGTAAGTAATGTTGAATTCTCTGGTCTCATTAGCTTCAAGATTCTGGATTTCAGCGAAATGCATGTATATATATGACGGTGCAGTGATGTCGTCGAGAGTCCAATCTATTGTCAGAGGCTGAGTAGCATTTGCCGGGACAGCAGCAGTTTTCGCCACAGCTTGAGGCACGTTGTAGAAGTTACTTGTATCAACAGAAAGTTCCGTGCTTAACAAGGAAGTTTTGTTATCTAATAATGGAACCCAAATTCGGTCATGGACGTCCTCATCAAACCTAGAGAGAGATAGATAGAGTCCATATTTTTGTTAATTCAACACAAAGAACAAAACAAGAAATATGAAAATAAACCTTTTTGGCACATTTCTTTACCTCACAAACGGTGGAGTGGGTGAGAAGTAAACTCTTGCGACCGCAATCAGCGATCCACTTTGTGTGACGTATGTATTATTGTTCAAAGGACGAAGTTCCAATGACGAAATAAATGGTGTAGTTTCTCCAGTCTTAACAAGACAAATTTGAAGACGGTCTTGTGTTAAGACATGAATCATCTCGTTGACTGAACCATTTGTTACTCCTGGGATCGAAACAGAGGTCCATTTGTTTGGACCAATGTAAAGATCAAAGCTCGGGAGTCGATTCAAACCGTCGTAATTCCCATAGATAAAAGTTCCTCTGATCAGATACTTGCGTTTCGCGGTGAGGGTGAAGTTGTAACAGTTTCTTTGACCCTCAGGGAAGCTTCTTAAGGCCCAAGTCTGTTGCTGAAGCTGTGTTCTGTATACTTCACTGATCTTCCCGGGAAATCCACTGTCGATGAAAGTCGCGTCTGATCTGTATGTTATATTCGTCGACTTCTCCACATAAGTAGTTTCCTTAGGCACCAAACCACAATCTAAGCTGATGAATCCTGTTCATGATCAAAGAAAACAAACTTTTAAGAGGGTTTCAGAAACAAAACATGAAGCTTTTATGAAAACAGAGAAAAGAAAGAAAAGCAGAGTAATTAAGAACCTGATTGATCTTGCGCTTGAACCAATTCAAGAACTGCAAAAACTAAGATCAAGAAAGACAAAAACCTCATGTTTTTTGGGGATGTTTGTTGTGAATCAGAGGAGGCTATTCATTGTTCATAGGTTCTTGGTGGGCAAAGATTGACATAAGCAAAGTATTGGTCAATTAAGATGACTAAGTCTTCTTCTTCAACATTAGATTTATTCAGGTAATTGTAACAGTACTCTTATTTGCCTACGAAATTATGTGTGGAAATGTTCAAACTAGTATTGGTGGCAATTATATAAAAACAAAAGAAAAAAAATGAGAAAGCAGACAAAAGTAAATAAAGAAATAGAAAGAAACAAAGAGAATTGCAGATTCTAGCTTAAACAGAAAGGGAGCGTAAATAACTACTAAACACAATCATACTTTTCTTTTTCTTATGAAATTTCTAAATTAATTGTGGAATAAATCTCGATATTATAGTCAATTGACATATATGGTATATATTTATTAGAAATTATTTTGACAAATTTTCATGTGTTTGAAATTCTTTTTTAATAATAAAGTGAAGAAAAATTAGAAATGAATAAGTCAACTTAGGTGATTCTGATTTTTGACGTCGTCGTTGCCTATATTCCTTGAAATTACAAAGAATTTGACTACAATTATATATTTGATGGTGTATGTAATTTGTCCATTGATTTGAGTGAGTATTTTGCAAAACAATTATTTTACTTTGTTTTGATAAGGTGACGTCGACTCGGTTTGAAATTTAAATTACAAGGTTTGAGAGATAAATTATGAGAATCTATACGAGATCAATTATGAGAAGCTATAAGAGACAAATTATTCGATGACTTTTTATCAAATAGTATAAATCTTTGTCAATATATAGTCAATTGATGAAACGTAATTAGTATCTTTTGGTTCAATTTTCAATTTTTTGTACAGTTGAATTATGTAGTGGTGACTCTAAATTTGATTTTTTTACAAAAAATTTCTATCTATTATTTTGAATCGATGGAGTACAATAAAATATATGTAAATTAATAAATTTATAAAATGATTAATTTATTGATATTGTAATCGATTTGAAAATCTAGTTTGAAATATTCAGCAATGTGCAAATCTAAGCAGATTCAGTAAATTCAGCAAAAAAATAAAAAAGGTTATGAGGAACATGAAAATCAATCTATAGACGACGTAGAGTTTTTTTTTTTTTGACGACGTAGAGTTTGTACTAGGCTTTGAGAAACTCAAACTCTTTTTATCTTCGTAGCTCCTTGAATTATGTGGAATTGAAATATTAATACTCAAAATAAGAAAAAAAATTTTAAAAAAAAAAAACAGAGGTAAGAATATAATTGAGAGGTTAAATATGCATGCAAAATCAAGAGACGTGAAAGAAATAAAGTTCTGTCAGGTTGAAGGCTTGAAGCGAATTTGCTAAATATTCTAGTGAGATCATAGAAAGAGAGGTGAAGAATATGTCTAGTGATGTTAAGGTGTTCATCGGAGAACACCAGCAATTGGTTGAAGAGTAGAGAAGGCCTCAATTCCGTGTTAAATACAGAATTATAATTGTGCATGTATCGTTAAGGAGAAAATACTAACGAAACGAAATTGCTTTTAATTTCTCATTATTGATGTGTAAATCAATATAATTTCTATATAAAACTTTATGATAATTTCCATATAAAACTTTATGACAATATTATTGGAAAGCCGTTATTGTTTCCTACCCAAAAAATACAAAGACGTTACATAGGATAGGAGATTACATTCTTAAGAATAGATTGAATGTAATAATCAAGAAGTATTGACCGATGTTGAAAGTACTGATGTCATTTTGTTCATATTCTTTGTCTTTGTTTTCTTCTTCCTTTAGCGCTTTAAACTGAGCAACAATTTGGTCGTAATCAGGAAGCTTAGGATGAATATGTTTTGTTGCTGCTAATCGTTGTCTTTCTTCTTCTTTTGCCTCCAGCGCTCTAAACCGAGTAATAACTTCGTCGTAATCAGGAAGCGTAGGCTCAAAGCCTTTGGGGAATAATCTTCGTCTCTCGTTTTCTGCTTCCTTCTTCTTTTTAAACTGAGTTAAAAATTGTTCGTATTCATGAAGCTTCGAATGAACATGTTCGGTTGTTAAGCTTTGTCTTTCTTCTTCTTCTTCTTCCTTCTTCACTTTGAACTCATTGTATTCTACACAATGGCGACAATGTGGGGATGTTGATGATCTTCTTCTTCTTTGATGAGTCCTTTTTTGCCTCATGTAATACGTCAAACTCTCCATATCCCTAAACTCCATTAGTGTTGATAATGGTGATGATGGTTTTCTCTTCTCTTCACTACTTTCTCGGAATCTGAATACTCTTTGATCTTTTCCCACTTGACCATCTTCTATGTAATCATCTTCCACTGATGTTTCTTCCTTGCTTCTCTCTTCTCAACATCGGTGAGGCTAAATTTATGCACCTTGTATGGTGATTGATCAGCAGATCTAATATCCATATTCATTACTTTCTTCTCTTTTTCTTCATTGACCTAAACACACAAACGATCAAAATATTACGAAACCAAAAAAAAAAATTATCTACTGATCTTTACTAATAGAATAACAAAAAAAAAATCACCTGTTTTCCAATCTCAGGTCTACTATATTCCGGCCTTAATATTTCTAAAAGGTGACCGAACTTCTTCGTTATTTTATCCATCATTCTACACTTCACATCTTCTATGTAATCATCTTCCATTGATGTATCTTCATTGCTTCTCTCTTCTTCAACATCCGTGAGACTAAAATATTTCTCCACCTCTTCTGATGACTCATCATCATATCTACTATCCATATCCGTATTCATTACTTTCTTCTCTTCCTCTTCATTGACCTAAACACACAAATCCAAAATATTATAAAACCAAGAAAAACAAATATATATATATATATATATATATATATATATATACTGAACTTTATTACAAAAACAATAAAAAAAAATTCACCTGTTTTCAATCTCAAGTTTATATTCCGGCCTTAATACTTCTAAACGGTGACAACACTTCTTCTTATTTTAGCCAACAATCTAGACTTCACATCTTCTATGTAATCATCTTCCATTATCTCTTCTTCGAAATCAGTGAGGCTAAATTTATACACCTTGTGTGGTGACTCTTCATAAGATCTAATATCCATATCCGGATCAATTACTTTCTTCTCTTCCTCTTTATAAACCTAAACACACACAAGTCAAATATTATGAACCCAAAAAAATATAAATATATCTACGGATCTTTGTTACAAAATAACAAAATAATAATAACCTGTTTTCAATCTCAGGTTTATATTCCCGCCTTGATATTTCTAAACGGTGACCGGATTTCATTATTTCATTCAACAATCTACACTTCACATCTTCGATGTAATCATCTTCCATTATTTCTTCTTCGAAATCAGTGAGGCTAAATTTATGCACCTCGTGTGGTGACTCTTCATAAGATCTAATATCCACATCCGGATCAATTACTTTCTTCTCTTCCTCTTCATAAACCTAAACACACACAAGTCAAATATTATGAAACCAAAAAGAAAAAAAAAACATATATATCTACCGATCGTAATTACAAAATAACAAAAAAAATAACCTGTTTTTCATTCTCAGGTTGATATTTCCGCCTAGATATTTCTAAACGGTGACCGGATTTCTTCATTATTTCATCCAACATTCTACACTTCACTTCGTCTATGTAATCATCTTCCATTATCTCTTCTTCGAAATCGGTGAGGCTAAATTTATACACCTCGTGTGGTGACTCTTCATAAGATTAATATGCATATCCAGATCAATTACTTTCTGCTCTTCCTCTTCATAAACCTAAACACACACAAGTCAAATATTATGAAACCAAAAAGAAAAAAAAACATATATATCTACTGATCGTAATTACAAAATAACAAAAAAAAATAACCTGTTTTTCATTCTCAGGTTTATATTTCCGCCTAGATATTTCTAAACGGTGACCGGATTTCTTCATTATTTCATCCAACGTTCTAACACTTCACATCTTCTACGTAATCATCTTCCATGATCTCTTCTTCAAAATTGGTGAGGCTAAATTTATACACCTCGTGTGGTGACTCTTCATAAGATCTAATATCCACATCGGGATCAATTACTTTCTTCTCTTCCTCTTCATAAACCTAGACACACACAAATCAAATATTATGAAACCAAAAAAAAAAAACTGATCTTTATTACAAAATACCAAAAAAAAAACCGATCTTTATTACAAATACCAAAAAAAAAAATACTGATCTTTATTAAAAATAGCAGAAAAAAACTAACCTGTTTTTCAATCTCAGGTTTATATTCCGGCCTTAATATTTCTAAACGGTGACCGGAGTTCTTCGCTTTTTCAGCCAACAATCTAGACTTCATCACATCTTCTATGTAATCATCTTTCATTGATGTCTCTTTCTTGCTTCTCTCGTCTTTGACATCGGTGAGGATAAATTTATACACCTCGTGTGGTGACTCTTTCTTGCTTCTCTCTTCTTTATCCAAATCCATTAATTTCTTCTCTCTCACGTCAAACACCTAAACACACACAAAACCTAAATATTATGAAACCAAGACAAACAAATATATATATATACTGATCTTTAATTTACTACAAAATAATAACAAAAACAATCACCTCGTTCTCAATCTCAGATTTATGTTCCAGCCTTAGTATTTCTAAACGGTAACCCGATTCCTTGGCTATTTCCTCCACCATTCGACACTTCACATGTTCGGATACTGAAGATATCGACAATTTCTTTTTGATCTCCGTGTTTACAAGATTCCCAGGGAGAACCTGAATAGCAGTTGTTACATAACGTTGACCATAACGTTGACCAACCAGCTCGCTTAAAGTAAGCATTTCAGGTATATCTTTACACTTCACCGATGCATAGATAAGAGTCGAAACTGCTTCCGAAGTATCGTCATTAACCAGTTCTCTGCATCATGTTAATTATCGAATTAGTGTTTGAATCAACCTACATATATAATCAGAGAATATTTAAGAGAGAAACAAAATATATAGTAATTACCCGTGTTTTCGAATGGGGGAGAAGCGTCGGATTATGAAATCTGTGAACTGAAGCAACAAATCGTAGATTGAAATCGCGTTTTCGAGGAGGAAGAGCTGTTCGGTTCGGAGGAGTGCGTTGGTGGAGTCATTGTTTCGGATGTAGTCAGCAATATCCATACGTATATGTCTAGCTTTTGCATACTTTTGGTGTTTGAGTAGCAGAAGACGAGATTGAAGCATCTTCAACACTTTCCATGTGAGAGCTTTTGCTTTCTTCCGTCGACAGAGCAAGAAACCAAACATGATTTAAACTGAGTTTGCATGTGTGGTCTCAGCAACGAGAGATGTTGGTTTTATACGGAAAATTTAACGACCTAAATCCTTTTTTTTTTTTCTTGTTAAAGTAACGACCTAAATCCCAAACGACTTATCACAATTATTTATAAAATATCAAATCACAAATAACAGATACGATTATTTTTGTTTTCATTGAAATCCGTGAGGATATCTCGAACCGTAATCCAATATTAATTTTAAACAATGATATTAAATTTGCTACTTAAAAATTACGTAGGATTCTTGATAAAAAAAAAAAATTGATAAAAAATTTGTAGGAATTAGTTTACAACAATTGATGCTAATTTACAAGAAAAGGAATTGTGTAGTTTTTTCAGCATATATATGTACTAGTTATTTGCCAAAAAAAAAAACGCAGTGACTATATCAATACAATCAAAGATATGATCCTTTATTCTATAACAATTAGTAGTCCAATCACTAACTTTCAACACAAAATATATATATATATATATATATATAAAATTACAAAGATAATGTGATTTATTAACGTTTACCAAAAAAAATAAAGGTTTAACTGGCCGACAAAAAAAAGGTTTAACAATATAATGTAATCTTTATTAGGAAAATTGGATATTAAGGAGGTTTATTTAAAAAAATTCCACATATGCATTCTGTTTTTTGTTCCCTAGCACATATGCATTCTATGGTGAAGTTTGGTGACATATTTACTATACATTTTTGCAACACTTTTAAGGAATCCAATCGGGTCAGATTTTTTTTTAATTTTGACCCGGAAATCTTCAATTGGATCTTCCCTTAAATTTTGTCAAATATCAAAAACGAAATTATTATAATAAAATTTAAAAATATATATATTCTCAACTAATTACTATACCTAAACACTTTATTTATGGAATATTTTTTACGATTTTTATAGATAAGGAAATCAAATATGATGATTTGATGCTAATATAACAAATTTGAGCTAATTTCCTAAAAACTCTCTACCTAATTTAAACATAAATATATGATTCTCATTTTACTTTTATTTGATCTTATATTTATATTATTTTGAATTATTATTAAAAATATATAGTTAATAAAACTTTAGATTTTTTTCTGCATATGCTATGATTCAAATTTTTAAAAACGGACATATATTACTCAATTGATGAAGAAAAAAACCTACTTACCATTTTTAAATTACATTTTAAGGAATCCAATCAGGTCGGTTTTTTTTTTTCTGATTTTGACCTGAAATCTTCAATCGGATCTTTTAAAAACGAAATTAATTAATAAAATATAAATATATATTTTCTCAAATAATTAATATATCTAAACTTTTTATTTATGGCATATTCTCTACGATTTTAATAGATAAGGAAATCAAATATGATGATTTAATGCTAATATAACAAATTTGAGCTAATTTCCTAAAAGTCTCTACCTAATTTAAACATAAATATATGATTCTCATTTCACTTTTATATTATCTTATATATTTTATTTTGAACTATTATAATATATATGTTCCATTAATAAAAAAATTCGATTTTTTCTGCATATGCTGTGATTCAAAATTTTAAAAACGGAAATATATTACTCAATCGATAAAGAAAAAAAGTATGTGTACAATCTATATTAATATTTTTGAAGAACAAATTTGCGTGTTTAATCATGTCGTATTTTTTTTTTTACTCTGACTCGGAATTAAGTTATTCGGATATTTTCTTAATTTCTACAATTATCCAAAACGGGACAATATATCACGGGTGAAATCATAAAATTAACAAATCAAAATATAATTATTTAATATTTTAAGATACAATTATAAATTATTTTGATGTATTGGTTCAGAAACACACACTAATTTTAAAAAATATATATATTATGTAAACTATTTGAAAGCAGAATTTTAAATTGACTCGAATTATATATCTTTTTAAAAAAGTGTTATTAAAAAAAAAAAAATGATGTTTAATTTTACGGGATGATATTAGATGGTGAGACGGGTTTGGATTGATATTAATACGGGAAAATATATCACGAGTGAAATCCTAGGATTAACAAATTAAAATACAATTATATAATTTTAAACACTAAACAAAACAAATACAACTTAAATTTTCTATTTTTTAGTTACAACGCATGTGACTCGCGGTGTACAACAAAAAATATTATATACAACAAATTCATCAATTTCAGATCCTTCTTAATCGCTTTTGATAATTTCGGTGAATCATCTGACCAATAACGAGTTGCACGTATCACTTTTTTTTTTGGAGGTGTCTCGCTTAAATTGTCTCTGGTAGATCAGATTCAAGTCTTTGTTTGCAAGTTTAATATGTTTGATCGTAAGAGGATACTTCTCACATATGTAATCCAACTGTTTTATAAGATTGAAAGATCCAGTGATCAAACATCACATTTTTCAGTTGGTGATAGTACATTATCAAATTAGTGTCGTGGGAATTAAAAACCAAAGACTTAAAAAAATAGTTTATTTGAGAAAATACTTTGATGCATGAGACTCATGGGAAGAATTTAATGTTGTGTGTCCTAATTAACAAGAAGAGATACTGTAGAGATAATCAAGGCTAGATTATGTCGTGTGTCCTAACTAACATTTTGTTTACTTTTTAAAAAAAGAAATTCTGAATTAGATAGAATATAATTCTAATTTTTATAGAATATAAGAAACATCTTAAGAATACGTTTTATAACATTTTTAGAACATGAATAATTGATAGAAAACGTATTCTATTTTTTATAGAACAGAGAGAAAAGTATAGAATACATATTCTAAATTTCGTAGAAATTAGTATTCTAAATACCGTAGAACATAAATGACTTCTAAATTTCGTAGAACATGTAGTGTGAGTAGAATACATAATCTAAATTTTGTAGAACATATAGAGTGTATAGAATACACATTCTAAATTTCAGAAGGTATATTCTAAACTTTATAGATCAAATTTTATTCATCCATAACGTCAACAAAAACGACATATTTTGACATTTTATATATCTTCATGTTTTCTTCACCATTTTTCTACAAATTTTTCTTAATTTCTTTTGAAACAATTGGTTCAATCTAATGCAAGGGGTAGTTTAGGAATAATTGATATTTGTTAATACAATGCATATATGAACAAATGTTCAAATATTTATTCTTTATTTCCAATGTTCCGATATTTTTTTAAGAAAAGTTTTCCCGAAAACGTAGCAAAGTTTGTGAAACATCTAATCATAATTATTTGCTCCACCGGTGAGGATATCTCGAGACTCGAATCATGTAATCCAGATTAATTTTGAAAATTCTACCAAAATTCCTACTTCAAAACTAAATGGGATTCTTGCAATATTTTTAAACCCGATCCAGAAAATGAACCGAACAGCCTTCTAAATCATCGGGTCACTTGGTCAACTAAGTACGACCACAGATTAATTGATTAAAATTTTTTTAATGTATTTAATATTTATAAAAATTATATAGTTCTATAAATATAAAAATAAAAATAAACATACTAAGTTGAACTAAATATGAAGTCTAATAATAATAAAGTGATTAAAACTTTTTAATCCAAATCAAACCAAAAATAATATTACGATAGTAGGGGTTATATTAGTAAACAAAAATACTAAAACCCTATATTTTATCCCAAAATCAAACCGCAAATTTTTATGGGTTTCCGGTTTAAAAATTGCCGGATGTTAACACTAAACCCAAACCAAAAAAGTGTTTGGGTTGTGAATTAACCGATCGGACCGGACGATCCTGATCGGGCGTGAAAACATTCTTGAAAAAACATGTTTTCTCTTATCTTTCCCAGAAAATTTTCTGACACAATAAGAATATAACAACAGAGAAATCAAAACAAAGTAACTACAAAACAGTATTAACTTTTAAAACACGACATCTTGTCTCTATCGGTTTCCTTCTTCCAAGATAGCGATTTTTTCTTGTGACACAAGAAAGCGAGTTACAAATACTAAAGGCCAAAAACAAAACCAATCACTCAATGCAGAAAGACGGTATTTTCAGTTCCAGAGATAACTTAACCTTTTAATGGATTATTTTGGTTCAAAAAGACATCAAATCCTCTCAATTCACCTCGGTCCAGGTGAGAATCCAGAAGGAGAGAAGCTTAATTCAATCGAATCTCTTGAAAACATCTCTTGAGTACCTTGTTTCCTGGCAATTTCAGAGTCGAGACACTCTTTTAGCTCCATCACAACATGTGGCATCGTCGGTCTACGGTTCGAGGTAGGGTTTACACAAGCCAAAGCCAACTCCACAGCCTTCCACAAACCGTTTGTATCAAATTCCCCCATCAGTTTCGGGTCGATTATATTCCTAATATCTCCTTCCATGAGCTTGAATCCAACCCAATCTGTAATATGCGCTTTCTCGCGGTTTGTATCAATCACATGCTGGTTTGTAATGATTTCTAATAAAACTACACCAAAGCTGTACACATCAGTCTTCTCGCTTAACAAGTTTGTTCTATAGTACCTGAAAAGAATATTAAATATATTACATTTCATATTCTATTATAAGTAAGATAATTGATTGATTTTACTCACTCAGGGTCTAAGTAACCAGGTGTTCCGGCTACGATCGTTGATACATAAGATTCACCTTCAACCGGGGAAGATCTAGAGAGCCCAAAATCGGCTAGTTTCGCTTGATACAGCTCATTCAATAAAATGTTAGTAGTTTTCACATCTCTATGGACCATAGGTGGTCTACTTCCATTATGTAGATACTCCAATCCTGTAACAAATTAGAATTGTTTTATGTCAATTTTTCATTTAAGACATCAAAATCAAAATATAAGCAAGACTTTTTGTTATTTTATCACCTTGTGCTGCCTCCATAGCTATTTGCATTCTGTTTTCCCAAGTTAGAATATGTCCATTGCGGTTTCCTACACCGAGTTTCAATTGTTATAATTACGAATTCCACCACATAATAATCTCTTAGTTAAAGTGATTACCTGACATATTCTCCTTCAAGTCTCCATTTGCCATATATTCATAAATCAAAGCCAAATTATCTCCATCATCACAGTAACCAACAAGTCCCACCAAATGTCTATGGTGGACTCTTAAAAGTAGTTCAACCTAAGAAAGATTAGAAACTTAACTTCCATTTCGAAAAAAAAAGAAAAAGACTAACGATGTTGATTTAAAATGTTACCTCTGCTTTGAAATGTTTATAATCTTGATCAGCTGAAGAATGAAAGAGCATTTTCACAGCTACTTGAATATCATCCAGTTTTCCATAATACACTCTTCCATATCCTCCTTTACCAAGAACTCTTTCAAAGTTATTTGTCATCTTTAGTATCTCAGAATACGTAAATTTCCGATCCTTTGTTTCGATTGATTGATAGGATGATCTGTTCTCAGTATTAACCCTAGTTGGAGCTGTTATAATGGTCAAAAGGAGAAATAAAAATGAATCAAATATTAAAAAAATCTGTTATGTTTTCCATTAATGTAAAGACATGATCTGATGTTTATACCTTCACCACTTCTCTGTTTTTCTCTTTTAAAAATGAAACATATGGTAAAGATAGCTAGTAATGCGATCACACCAGCCACTGATGCTAAGATAGCAACCAAAGGAACTTTTATACCGTGTTTTTCGCTACTCTCGTTTTCATCTATACTGCAATGAAATCATTAAAATTGAATGGGAAATGAAAATCAATAGAAGATTAGGTCATCTATATACTTTCCATGACTAATAAAAGAAACAAAAAAGTTGAGAAAACATACATTAGTTTTAAAGATTTGTTCTTTATCCTATTATGAATAGAATCTGGAACTGTGAGATTCAGCTTTGGGTTTCCTCTTAAGTTTCTGCGAAACGAAAAGACTGAATCTTTCAAGAACAAAACCATAGCAGAACGAGCAAAGAGTTAACTAACAGAAACTTACATTACTGTCAACATCTTCATATCAGCAAGAAAATCTGGAATATCTCCAGATAAATCATTATTTGATAAATCTCTGTCCATTGTACAAACAAAGAAAACGATTACATCAAATAGTTAAGTATAGTTATGTTATATACTGTTATATAGATACTTACAGTTCCCTCAGTTGTATAAGATTATATATATCATTCGTTATGGTACCGGTCAATCCACTCGTTGTCAAGTTCCTAATATCTTAAAGAGTTAGAATTTTGACGAAAACTCGATACTATAAGAAAAATAAAGTAATGAAATGAATATAAACGAACTGAAAAGAAAACATACAATGATGTGATCAGAGGTTGATCGGAGTCCAAATAAAGACAATCCACACCTTCCCATCGATAAATTTGAGGAGAACATGGATCTCCTTGCCAACTTACCTTTTTACTCAATCCATATGTTTTCTTGATGTTCATCATAGCAGAAACTGTAATTCCCAAAACAAAACAAAAACACCAAAGCATGAGTTTTATTAGATGGAGTAATAAAATTTAGAAATCATATTGAAAACATGTTATTTTTTTGTCAACTTAGACAAATCTGATTATTTGAATATACTCTAAAGTTCAATAAAATTTATGTGGATTTGAAAATGTTTCTCACAAACTAGTACATACTTCCTAAATTCTTAAAAGAAATTGAAAGAAAAAAATTGGTTAAAAGAATGAGGGTAAATGGAATTTACCTTCATCTTGATATGTCTCGAGCAGTGAATTTTCTACAAGTATATAAACCTCAAGGGCATTGATAAGTGGAGGAAGAGTAGAGTTTTTGGTCATTGTAAAAGTGAAATTGAAAAAACCATCTGAAGAACTCAAAGCTGTTGGACTAGAGATTGTTGTGATGCTGAGATTGTGAGGTCTAAAGTAACTTTGCCAAACCTGACCACCATTGTAAGTAATGTCGAATTCTCTGATCTCATTAGCTTTAAGATTCTGTATCTCTGCAAAATGCATGTATACATATGATGGTGCATTGATGTTTTGGAGATCCCACCATATGTTGAGAGGATTAGTAGCTTTCGCAGGGATAATAGCGGAATTCGCCACATTTTGAGGCACATTGTAGGGATTGCTGCTTGTATCAATCGGTAGATTGGTGCTTAACGACAATGTTTCATTCTGGCTGAATGGAACCCAAACTCGATCATACAAGTCATCATAATACCTAAAGAGAGGGACAAAGAGGCTTCATTTTTAGCTCAATAAAATTTTTGCAAAATAATCATGAAACATAAATCCATACATGAGATATAGCAAAATCACTGCACAAAAATGTAAATATGTGTTCAAAGTTAGGAATGGTAAAAATAGCATAAACAAGTTTCCTTAGCATGAAAGTTCTAGTTCCGTTTTTCATTTTACTAAAATACTTTATAAAACTGGTATTTTTTTTTCAAAACAATAAATTTGTATTTGAACATTCTTTTACTCTCATGTAAACAAAACACATAAATTGTATATGAAAATTTTGAAACCTCATTTTCTTTACCTGAGGAAATATGCAGTCTTTGGAAAGTAGATTCTGGCGAAGGACATCAACGATCCGCTTTGAGTGACGTAAGTATTATTGTTCAACAGACGAAGTTCCAACGACGATATAAACGGTGTCGTATTACCTGTTTTGACAAGACAAACTTGAAGACGATCTTGAGTTAAGACATGAATAATCTCGTAGATCGTCGCATTTGCTACTCCTTCCAACATAACAGAAGTCCATTTATTAGGACCAATATGAAGATCAAACTTAGGTATTTGATTCAAACCATCATAATTCCCATACACAAACGTTCCTCTAATCAGATATTTGAGATTCGCTTTGAGATTGAAGTTGTAACAGTTTCTTTGACCTTCAGGGAAGCTTCTTAAGGTCCAAGTCTGTTGCTGAAGTTGTGACTTGTATGAATCACTGATCTTTTCGGTTAATCCACTGTCGATATAATCCGCGTCTGATATGTATGTTATATTCGTTATCGTCTCGGTATAGGTTGTGTTCTTAGGAACTAATCCACAATCCAAGCTAATAAATCCTGTTCATGCAAGATTCAATAAAATATTCAAAGAGATTTATTTATAAGGGTTTCGTAGTAAACATCAAGCTTTTATGAAATAGAGTAAGAACCTGATTGAGATTGAGCTTGGACTAATTGAAAAACAGCCAAAGCTATTGTCGAGAGGAGCAAAAACCCATTAATTGTCTTCATTTTTGATTACTTTTTAGGCTCTGATGGAGGATTTTACTTTGTGCAAATCTTCAACATGATTTAGATTAATCAGGGGCTTGTAAGATTTTGGCAGAAATCGAATAAACAAGTAAGGAAATAGAATGAAACAAAGGGAGATGGATGCAGAGAATCTTGCTCTGTCAAAATAATCAAAATATGTCATAGGCAAAAAAATATTATAGAAAAAAATCATAATTTCTTTTTTGTTAGAAAGAATTCCAAACTATGTAAGGAAAAAAATCTTGACATCCATAATTTGATGTTTTTTACTTTATAGCATATTTTTTACAAATTTTGACTGTTCTTTAGAATGGATAATAGTAAATGTAAATGGAGCATAAAAATAAATGATTAGACTCTGGCTAATTGAGGATACAATTTACTATATATCTCTAACTTTTTTTTGCTTGGATTTTAAGTTATTGTATTGCCAATATATAATATATTGAATTTGTTGTAACTCAGAAAAAGTTTGTTTGCTACAAAATGGTCAGGCTAAAAGAAATATATGTTCCACTTACAACAGTCTCAAACCGATCCAATGATCAATACAGTTCTAACTTCCTCAAGGCATCTCTCTTCGGCTTTGCATGTCAACAAGAGATATAGGGTCTGATTGGTAACCAAAAGCTGTTAGCTATTAGCTGGAGCTGTTAGCTTTTCTGGAATAGTGCAAAGCTGTACAAAAGAGCTGTACGAGAAAGGTGTACAAAAAAGCTGAGAGTAAAACTTTTAGTAACGCTTTTGGTAACTGTCAAAACTGTATACTTTGTAACGCTTTGTACCGCTTTGTAAAGTGGTAACCAATCAAAGCCATAATGTCAACTCATTACATACATTGCAACGTGTTTCATAGGGAACTTAAAGTTTGAAATTAAAAGATATATCAGATTAAATATGAAAATATCCAAAGAATTACTTATATGGTCAATGGTCATAAAAACCTATTCTGAATTATTTTATTGTTAGTCTTCTTGACCAACTTGCTGCAAGTTTTTTCTTTGGCCTATATAAACATCAACCTTCCATAGTTTCAAACTGTAATCTGAAATCATTTTTAAGTTGTATTTGTAAGCACTTTTTTATCAAAAAGTTGTTATGGCAAACGAGCGATCAAGCTCAATCCTCTTCCTTTATGTTCTTGTACTTTCTTTGGTCTTCTCTCCTACACTTCCATGTCAAGCAGCTCGAGTGCATCTTGATGGTAAGCTAATCTTCTTGAATTAACAATCCGTCGCGGTTTCCCTTAAAGACAATTTTTTTTTATTATTATGATAGTTGAAGGGCGTATGCTGCTGAGAGCACCAGTGCCAATTCGCTTTTGCCCGGCTTGTGCGTGTTGTGCACCGGCTCCAAAAGGTTCTTGCTGCCCATGCCGATGCACCAACAATCCCTAAAAAGATGTGACTCTGCTTTCTGCTAGCATGTATGTGTTTGATATATGTATACTCTGCTTTCTTTTTCTACTCTTATATATGTGTATGTGTTTGATATGTGTATGTGTATGTGTATGTGTATGTGTTTGATATATGTACTATGAATAAGCAAATCAAAGCTTAAAACTCTGTGTTTCTCTGATTTGGACAAATAAGTCAGCTATATGTTTTTGTCTTAGCAACGTTTATGGAACTATTACTAAAGTGGGTCAGTTTAGTATTTGAGGGACCTGTGACTTCTCATTCTTCAACACACAAAGAGACTTTGAATCCTAAAATGAACTGTGGAAAAGTCGTCTTCAAAAACTAAATATGACATAGCCTTAAATCATTAATCCTCTAATTACACTAAGCATAACAAAGCAAAGCCTCAATATATATAGCGTGTACAGTGGAAAATCGATCTTTGTGAAAGTTATGTATGATCAAGAATCAAGATTCAGAGGGTCCAGTTGTGCAAAATGGTCAAAATTGAATAAAGCATATAGGGAACGCATTTATGTATGAAAATACACAAAAATAATTAAAAATGTGTAATTCACAAGTAAAAGTCAATCGATGGTGTAAGAATCGTAACTATAAATATCCCATGAACTAGTGGATAAAGAAAAAGAAGACAAATAAAAACTAGTGGACAAAGAAAAAGAAAAAGGAAAGACTAAATTTCTGAATTTCAATAGATATCATCCAACGAGTAATTTTTTGTTTCTTGACCTATATAAACATCATCTTACTATAGTTTCAAACTGCAATCTGAAATCTTATTAAGTTTCTAAGCATTTTCATCAGAAAGCTACAATGGCCACCTACCGATTCTCAATCATCCTCATTTCCGTTCTTGTACTTGCTTTGGTCTTATCTCCACTCCTTCCATGTCAAGCAACTCGTGCGCATCTTGATGGTAAGCTAATCTTTTCGAAATTAATAAATTATCCCTCGCGGTTTTCCTTAGGTGAATCTTTTTTTCTTTTACCTTGAAGCTGAAAAGCGTATGCTGAGGCGCGTGTGTCCTTCGTGTGTGTGTTGTGCACCGGCTCCACGAGGTGCTTGCTGCCCATGTCTATGCCCCAAAAATCCCTAACCGCTTCGACTTTGAATTCGTCTAACAGCTTGTCATGTGTTTAATGTAATCTTATTTACATGTGAATAAGCAATCAAAAGATTAGACTCCGTATGACTCTTGTCACTTAGGCCATTCTACTTTTTGATTGTGATTAGGATATCCTCTGATTCGGACAGAAAAATATGTTATATATGTTTTGCCTTACAGCTTCGTTTAAACTTATTATTAAAGTGGATCGGTCAATGTTTGAGGGACCTTTGACTTCTCTCCAACTCACAAAGAAAGACTTTGAATCTTAAAATTGACTGTGGAAAAGTCATCTTTAAAAACGCATATAAATATGATATACCCTTAATTATCTCTTATAAGCAAAGCATCAATGGCGTTTCACAGTGGAACATCCATCTTTTTAAAGCTCTTCGTCTTCTCTCTGCTACTTCTTCTTCCCTTGTCACAAAGCAACGCTACTCGTATCCCAAGAGGTAACTCTAGTCATTAAATCTGTCTATATACCTTTAATAGTTTCCAATATTGGATAAGTATAATGATCTGTATGGATCATTCTTGGTATGTATTTACATCAGCTCCAATTAGCTCGAGAAGACCGATTTGCCCGGCTTGTGTGTGTTGTGAGCCAGCTCCGCTAGGAAGTTGCTGCAGATGTTGTGCATCTCCTATTGTCACTCAAACTCATCACCACTCTCAATCTCCATGAATATGTAACATCAAAAATCTTGACTTAGCACCAAAAAAAAAGAAAGAATAATAAAGAAAGTCTTTTTCAATCCATGTTTCTCTGTTCACATGTCCTAATAACAAAAAAGGAAAAAAAAATCTGGCTTCAAAGTCAACTTGATATTTCAACCATTGACCAAAACTTTGATTAATGTAAACATTGTTAATACCTTAACCAAAAGATATGCCTATATTCACTTAGTAATAATAAATAAATAAAACCTAAAAATCTAAAGACCTAAACTCATCAAATCAACAGAACGGCGACAACTTGGACAGCTTCGTTCCCGTGTAAGCCAAGAATCAATACACAAAAGATGAAAAACATGACCACATTTTTTTAATCGCCTAATCTGATGATCATCCTCGTACTCTTCCAAACAAATTGGACAAAAACGTTTACCACCACCTTCTTCTTCTCCTCCTCCTTCTTCTTTGATATCTTTGAAAACTAGGGTTTTTCTCTGTCCGGTTTCAATGTCTTGTTGATGAGGCTGTACAGTTTGGTGGATTGTCTCGGGAGGTAATCCCGTGGGAGGGAGACTTGTATTTTCGCAACAGTTAGCAATTAAGTTGACGATCAAGGCGATGATGAGAAAAACAATGATAATTTCATTAGTAGTATCCATCCTCACGTATACTTCGTTTTCGTTCGTTCCTACCAGAAGAAATATCAGAACGTGAATTATTTTACATTATAAAAATCTATATATACATTTTTGGAGTACATTTAGCAAATAAATCCTCGAGTTCCACCTTATTTACGGATGAATGCCATTGGCATTAATTATTTAAATTTGAAAAAATTAATTAAAGATATTACCAACAGATTTTGAGAATCATAAAATCAGATATTCTTTAATTTTCTAAGTCATTAATGTGATAATCTTTAGGAAATATTTCTCTGTAAAAAAAAATCTACATTAAAGAAAACATTAAAATCGACACTAACAATTAAATTATTTAGATATTCAATTATTTTAAGATTCTTATATCTTATTTGATATTCCTTTTTTTAATATCTCATTCTTTAATTACTGCGTTTAGAATTTATTGGTTGTTACCTATTTTTTGGTGAAATTTATTGGTTGTTACTTAATAAGTAATTAAGGTGCGTTTATTTTAGTTAATATCTAATTTAAAGGATTTGTTTTCTTTTATTATTAATAAACGAATAACATGTATAGAAATAAAACATTTTTCTTGCGACTCCATAATAAAAGTATTAAACTCTTATTTTCTATATTTCTTACACATAATATCCTCTTATTGGATAACAGGAAATATATATATATATATATATATATATATATATATATATATATTGCATATTTTTTAAAACTAAACGATTTCCGAAAATTGTTTCCATATATTCAGTTTCTTTTTAACAAAATCATATCTTCTCAATTTAGCAACTAATAAAAAAAATAATTGAAACAGATTAATAAATTAGTTCACGTAATATAGGGGATTTAAAAGTTTTCAATGATAAATAATAAATTCGTTAAAATGATAACAAAAATAATATTTTTATATATTTAAAATAATACCACCAACTTATTCTCAAATCTTTTTAAAATCATGGCATTGAATAATATTTGAATATTTCCGATTTTGTTGCTATATTCTCGAATTTATGATACAAATCTTAGCTAATCACAACTAATTAATAATATTTAAATTATATAACAAGTTTGTAATATTAATAATATTTCAACTCTATACAAATTCAATATATATATATATATATATATCTTATGGGAACCATTTAAAAGAAAACTTTTAAATTGACTTGAATTATATATCTTTTAAATAAAAGTATTATTAAAAAAAAAATAACTAAATGATGTTTAATTTCACGGGACGGATAATATGATGGGACGGGTTTGGATTGATATTTATAAAAGATAGTATACCACGGGTGAAATCCTAAAATTAACAATCAAAATAATCTATCAAACAAATTACATTTTGATTTTTTTTAGGAAAATATAGTCCCGCGGTGTACCGCGGGTTAAAATCTAGTATACAGTATTTCGGAATAACATATCAAACCAATCTTCCCATTAGGATTAGAGTTTTATTTTCTTTTTCGTTTTTGTTTTTTTGGATAATCATGTGAAAACAGCACTGGGGTAAAAAAAAAAAAACACATGCTTGCATCCCAAGAGAATCCTAACGACGTCGTTTACTTTGAGACCCTAGTTTGGTCAAAACTTTTAATTAAAGCCAAATAAAATTTATATAGTCTTCGCTGAGTTTTAATTCCACACGAAAAGAGTTTGAATATATTATCTGCACACAGAAAAATGTACAAAAAATCAAGGAGACATTGGTTTGAAACACAGATAATTTCGTTGAATTAAAAATAAGAATATTTATATACTGAACGAAATCATATAGATTAATTAACAAGATTGAATCATTAACATTTTATAAACTAGGTCTGGGCGTTCGTGTATTCGGAACGGTTCCGGTTTGGTTTCATTCGATTCCGGTTCTTTCGATTTTAGAGTTTAGGATCAATATACAAACCGAAACAATGGTAGTTTGGATTCGGTTTTGGTTCTTTCGATTCTGAAGTTTAGGATCCATTCGGGTAATTTATTTCGGATATTTTTGGGGTATTTTCGAATATTTTCGGATATTTTTTGGGTAATTTTGTGTTTTTTCCGGATATTTTCTGGTATTTGCGGTATTTTTGGTTATTCTATTTAAAAATAACTAATATTTTTGGATATATAATTATATTTCGGGTACCTGAAATATTTCAGTTCCAATTCTTTCAGTTCTAAAATTTAGAATCTGTTTGAATATTTTAAAATTTTGGTTCGATTCGGTTCAGTCATTTTTGCTTTGCTTCCGGTTCGGTTATTTTGCCCAGGCCTAATATAAACACAAAACTAGAAATTTTGATTCAGCATCTTCAAAATATTCTGTTCTGTTTGCAAGATTGCAACATATCTCAAGCATATAAACTCATAAATCTCTTCATTTGATTCTCCAAAAGAATAATCATATAGAGATTAGTCTCTGTAACTAACTACTTAGTTAGACTGCGATCGATCATATCTCTAGACAAACCAAGCTTCTACTTCTAGGCAATGACAAATAATCGAAAATAAAGTAATAGTTTTAAGATTTCAGTTTTTATCTTCCTTGGACAAGACCACTAAAGACTTGGCTGTTTCCAGCAAGTGTTGCTTCCCATTCAATGGAAGACAAGAGTATCTGCGAGAGCGATATAACCACTTGCTTCATGTTTGGTCTTAGAATCGGATCATCATCAACGCATTGCTTTGCCAACATAGCAATCTGTCCACACAAAAATTCATTTCCAATGAAAAAATTTCATATGGTTACTAAATTTTCCATACTACTAAGACTAACCATTTGTTTCTTTGCTTACCTTGAACAAACAGTCGTGCGGGTATAAATCCATCATGTTGGGGTCAACAAACTCCTTCAAGCTTGACATATTCATAGAGTCTGGTGAGTTCTTTAGCGCTGCTAACATCTACAACAACAAAAAACGGCTTTGCGAATGAATGTTGCATCAAAGAAGTGTAATGGTTCAATGTGTGTAAACTCCAAGAACTTACAATAGATGCCAATGGACGTCTTTCTGGATTCTTAGTTCCCATCGCCTCCGTTCTTATAACAGCTTCTCTTCCGGATATAATTTCGAAAAGAACAACACCAAAGGCATAAACATCACTTTTCGAGGTGGCAAGACCGTCGCTAAGATATCTGCCGAGGAAAAGACAGAGAGGTCACAGATAAGTATTCACTAAAGTATTCTTGTATTAAAACTCAATGTAGCTTCAGGTTTTCAAATGCTTACTCTGGTGCAAGATAACCATATGTACCAACAACTTTAGTAACTGATATTTCTCCCTCTCCAGTTTTCTCAACCAGTTTTGCAAGTCCAAAATCCGATATCTAGATTGCGTGCAAATACAAGTATAAACCAAAATCAGCAAATAGTCATGTATAAGAATCATAGTATGTAACAGATTCATATAAATCATGACTCTAACCTTTCCTCTAAATGCCTCGTCAAGCAAAATGTTGCTTGTTTTGATATCTCGGTGAACATAATGAGTTTTAGTATGTTCATGAATATATTCCAAGCCTCTTGCTGCATCAAGTGCAATCTGATTCCTCATTATCCAAGACAGTGGGGTATTGCCTTCAAGAACATCAAGAAATATATCATTATCATCATCTTCTTGTTAGTTCTTGTCAGTATTATTAGTCTATTTACCTTTGCTCTGAGGATCATGCAAATGGCTTTTCAGCATTCCCTTTTGGACATATTCATACACTACGAAAAGCTCATCAACGGTTGCAGCGTAACCAATCAATTCTACCTTTGACAAGAATAAAAGTAAACACAAGAGTCATAATCTCGGATGATTTTAGACGCATAAAGAAGATTTACTGACAAAGGGAATTACCAGATTGGAATGATGAACTTTGCAAAGCACTTTCATCTCTGCTGCAAACTCTTTAGTTTTTGTAGCAGTCATTCTTTTGACAGCAACTTCCTGTGATAAGTTAAACCAAATATAACAACAAATAAAGCCATTTACGACAACTCAAGACTCGGAAATGAACGAGGTGACTTAAGCACAAACCTGTTCCCTAAGTAGACCAAAGTATACTGAACCATAATTTCCATGACCAAGAAGATTAGAATCCGAAAACTCATCCGTAGCCGCACGAATTTCTTCATAAGTAAACACCATAGGCTTCTCTATCTCAAACATTCCATCACCAAGAGCTACATTCATACAAGAGAAAAAACCGTTAAACAACGAAAAACTCTTTAAAAGAGAAACCACAGATGATGAAACCAAAAACCAAACCTTTAGGAATAGCAACAACTTGATGATGACTCTGATTTTCACCATTGGTTTGTCTAAAATCCCCGGATCTGCAGCAGTTATACCGACCAGAACCGCAAAAGAAACCGGATTTTCTAAGGATTTGGAAGTTGTGTCCATTACCATCTTCCTCACTGGAACTGCAACTAGATGATCTCAAACAGATACATACAAGTATACACAGAACAAGAAGCGCAAGCACAACTCCAAGACCACCAACAATCCATATATAAGGCACATGACTACCACTCTTTGCAGTGTGATTCACCTGATCATCTTTCCAAATTCGGAAACAAACACACAAACATCTAAATTTCAGTTTCATGATACTAAAAATAGAAACCTGAGATTCAGATCAGACAAGACAAGAAAAAAAACAGAAACCAAACCTGAGAGATTGCCATTAGCTAATGATGATGCAGGTGCAGGAGAAGGTGTTGGTGGATTTATCTTACTTGTCTCATAAGGCTCTCCAGGTACTTCATAAACAAACTCAAAATCATCAAATTGTTCATCTAAAAACCCTAACTTTAGCATAAAGATTAAAACTTTCTTACCGGAATCAAGGGGGATGAATAAGACATCACCAGCTGTGATATTATCAAGATTCAAGATCCCATTAACTTCTTCAATTCGATCCATACTAACACCAAATCTACTCGAGAGAGATTGTACACTATCTCCATCCACTGCAACGTAACTCATAAGATAGTTCCAGAGACCACTAGAGCAACCACAAAGAAGCTGAACAGAAACAACCGAACCAGCACGAGCTGCTCTTTTCGTATTCGGTGGAAACGCAAGACCAGAGTAAGCAGAGACAACAACATTGTAAACATATCCAACGTTTTGTCTGATTGTGAATGTTGTGTTTGTTGTGTATTGATGAGTTGTGGTAAGACAAGAACAGTTCTTTTTAATAAAGAAGTAACCTTCGGAGATGTCGGCGGTTATGTCTGCTGGTAAAACATCGAACATGCTTTGGATTACGGAGAAAGATTGGTTTTGGTTTGGTTTGAAAGCGAGGAAGGAAGTACAGAGACGGGAAGTGTCAGAGCAATTCATTGGCTTTGAAGATGAGAGATTTGGTAAGGAAGTGAAGAAGAAGAAGAAGATGAAGAAGGAAAGAATCAAGAATTTGGAAGTTGTGAGATTCATTGTGTGAAGTAGAAATTGGGAAATTCGAAAGAAGGGTTTTTTTAGGGATTTGATGAAATTTAGATGTGAATTGAGAGATGGGTTTTGGTTGATTTGGTTAAAGGAGAAGAGAAAGAAGTAGAGAGGAGATGAAATCAGCCATGGGAGGAAGGAGTGAAGCTCACACTCTCTTGTCGGGACTGAAAAAAAATCTAAAATAAAATCTTAATTGATTAGGAGGAAATGTCCAAAGATATATATATTTTTTAATATATATCCAAAATAAGACCATGTTCTTTGTCAAAATCATGATCATAATAATCCAAAATTATTATATGAAGGAATTTTTGTTAATTAATTAGAGTCAATTAGGTTAGGTGCTTGGTTTAATACCTAATTACTTATGTGTCACTATTACATTGTCTAGACTTGAGGTTGATCAAGCCTTCTAGTTCTAGGTCGAAGAAGAATAAATATATTTGTGTTTCTACTTTCTAAAATGTAGTGTTCAGAGGTTGGTTTAGTAAATCTAAATTGTCAAGTGAGAATTTACACTTTTATCTGTTCAAAAATAGTAATTTTATAGAATTGTTTTTTTTTCGTGTTGAAAATTTTAAGAACTTCGTTTTCAATTTAAGAACGTGTTTCTTGTTTAATTAAATTTTTACTCTAAGCTATAAATATTAAAGAATTGCAAAAATATATTAATATTAGATAAATACCCTAAAATATCACATTATTTTTTTTTTTTAAATGTACCATCACTAGTTTATTTAGTTCAACCAAAATAAATTACAAATAAAATTAGAAAATTATATTTGGATTCCCTATTTCTAATTTAAGGTTTATATGTCTACCATTTATCAGAGATTTTAATTCATTTAATATTAAGTTTGTGATATTATTAAAAAAATTAGTGATGATGTTTTTGGATTTTTGGAACAAAAACTTAAAAATATGATATTTTAGAGAATTATCCTTAATATTATGATATTTAAATTACTTTTTTGTAAATGAAAGAGAGGATATTAATTAAAACAACATTTCTTCTTTTGAATTTTTAATTAAAAACTGTTGACCAAAAAAAAAAAGAGAGGATATTATTTTTTCATGCCTTTTTTACTTTTTTATACTAATCGATACTCCGTATCTATTAGATACAGCATTAAATAGCATTAACTGCACACAGTAAAATCTAGAGGTAAGGAGAAATCTATTGCTTTGTTAAAAAAACAGATAACATGGGGAAAACTGGAAAAGGCATGAAAATGGTCAACATATAGAAATGGATTAATTAAGCAAAAGTTTTGAAGATTTTGTGCTTTATCGTTTCAAAGTAATAATTTCCAAAAAAGTTTTGAGAAAACGACAGTTTAAGCAAAAAAAAAATAAAAAATAAAGGAAAATACGTTTATTAATTACTCCCTCCGTATTTTAATAAGTGTCGTTTTAGGATTTTCTTTTTTAAAAAATTAGATGTCGTTTTCAAATTTCAATGCAAAATTTCTTACTTTTTAATGTTTTATGATGTCATAAAACATTAAAAAGTAATAAATTTTGCATAGAAATTTGAAAACGACATCCAATTCAAAAAAATAAAAATCCTAAAACGACAATTATTAAAATACGGAGGGAGTAAGATTTAGCAAGTGATGAGTTAAAAAGAAGGTACAGAGAACAATGAGCTGTTACTGACAAAAGACAGTTTGGTTCTGTCCCACCACACCTCTCAGATCACATTTTGGACCTTTTGATAGTGATTTTTTTTTTTGTTGCAATATACTCTAAAATTACAACAAAAATAAATGAGAGCGTCACACTTTTTGTCTTCTTTTCATAAATTATTTTTAGTCAAATTGACGCAATAAGAAAATTCATAATTTGATATAATCCGGGTTGATTAAAACAAAAGATCATCAAAGAATTACAACATTTTCTAATTCATTGTAGGCCTTCTCTATAACTGATACTAAACCCATTCTTCTAATTTCTGACTCGATTATAATTTAGCCAAATGGTATATCAAAATCAATAACAAATACATTTCTTCGTCCCCCACAATATTATTACCAATTTTATGAGCTTCCATGATTCATGAGCTCATCTTGTACTAGTCTTGCCAGTGTATATGTGCGGATTTTGTGGAATGGACCACAACTAAAGCAATACATTTTCACTGGCTTTGATTACTAAATGGGCCACCTTATTTTCATGTGAGTCCATGGACCATCTCATAGGAATGATTGTAGCCGAAACATTAAAACATAGTTTACTTGTTCTGTCTTGTTCTAACATAGTTTACTTATTTTTCTTTGGGGACATAATTTATCAACTAATAGTTCCTATTTTTTTGACATTAGGGCATCATCAATGGGAGATCATGTGAGGGTGTTCTTAGAGAAAATATAATGTTAAAATAATGTAAGATCATGTGTTTAGATCTTTTGTTTAGAAGTTGATTAATGGGAGAACATGTGTAAGATCTTAAGATTTAATAATATAATAATCTAAAAATTTTAAAACATATTACAATTATTAAAACATTTAAAAATAACATATAAATTGCAAAATGAAAATATTTTTGCAAAATGAAATTGAAAATATTTTAATTTGGAGACAACTCTGATTTTCTCCCAAAATGAAAATATTTTTTTGTCTTCCAAAATTCGGAACCAATACAAAGGTGCCACGTATACCAAGAACAAGGCGTAAAACAGATTTCGGGCGAGATCAATCCCCTCTGATCCAAGCCCACTATTCATTTTTTCTCAATTTTTATATTGCTAAGAACATGGCCCATGATCTGCCAATGCAGATGGCCTATCTTATCTCATTATAAATAATAATTTTATCATTCATGAGTGAATCTATATCTCTACAAGCACTTTGATAGCGACGGGTTTTAGTGTTTTACGAACAATTTCACAATGAACAATAGTTCGACTTACACCACGTTTGAAAAGTTTTGTACTTAACACATATGACCAAAATAAAGAATTCTGTTTGCACCACACTTGAAAACTCTAGTAAATTTGTTTCCACTAATCTGCATAATTCATACTTCCAGAAATCGAATATAATATATGCTCAAGAAACATTCTCTAGGTATTGACAATGAGTTTCCACAACTATTTAGCTTTAGGGTCCAAATAGTTGCAGCGGTTAAGACGGACAAATCTATTTATGAACAGGACCACTTTTTATTTATCACTCACAAATTATGTCGGTAGTGGTGCAGATACAGAAAAAATAAAAGAAAACCGTCGCGGACCAATCATGGCCGCTTTTACATACAAATAAAATTGGTCCGCAGCGGTTTGTTGTCCGCCCTAAAAATAGAAAGGACTAAACCGCTGACGGATTTGTCCACCCCGACCATTGTCACCATTCAAACTCTTAATTGGTTAATTGATTAAGGGAGGTTAGAAGTGACGGATTTGTCCACCCCGACCACTGTCACCATTCAAACTCTTAATTGGTTAATTGATTAAGGGAGGTTAGAAGTTTAACCACACGTCCACGCCTTTGGATATTAATAGGATGAACGATTAAAGTGGACAAAATGGACGGATAACATGTGATTGGAATAGAAAACGAGGATGTTGTGATTTGTGAACCGTCCAAAAACATGTGAATTTACAAAACAAGCGGCTGAAAATTTTAAAATTATTTAATTTTTCTATTTTTTAATAAACATTTATTAGTGTTTTTTTTGATGATTAACTGTTCTTTATTTTTGACGGCGATTAATTGTTCTAAACCTTTTATATTCTAATTTCCTCTGATGAATATTGGAGAAAAACTATAAAAATCACTTTTTAGGACAAAAACACTCCACTTTTGAATTATTTATACAATTATTTGAAAATATAACTAAAGCGGTTGTAATTTAAACTGGGTATTTTCTTAAGGAAAAATTCTATAAAAATCTACGAATGTATGTTGCATCCAAAAAATACACAAATTATTATTTTAACCATTTTAATTATTCAAAGTCTTAACCGTGCTTCCATTATAAGATATCACATAATCGGACTTTAACAACGATCGTCACGATATTCAACACCATTTTGTTATTTCGTTTAGTTTTAACTCTAGTTAAGAAAATTAATCTATATGTTCAAAGATTTTTTTATTAAATTAGAAAATTTTGAAAATCTAAACAATCTCCAAATATGTAATATTCATTTTCACAAGAGATAAAGAGAAAAACTAGGATTTTGAATTCGGTATACATTTCCGACTTTAAATATTAAAATGAATAATGGTTTGAGTATTTTTTTAGGTTCGGATATTTTTAAAAATATATATATATAGTTGGTGCATCTCATTATCTCATAATCGTTAATTCGTTATCGTTATGTAGTATGTTCAATCAATTGGTAACTAAATGAAATTCAATCAACCGAAAGAAAAAAAAAATGTCAATCAAGCCCGATGTATTTAAACCGTTTGTTTAAACGATTAAAACCCTATGTAATTAAAATTATTAAACCGTTTACCAAAAACCACCTATTGTGATTAGTAATTTACTGTGTAATTAAACGTGTACACAGTTTTTGGTAGATCGGGTTGATGTTCTTCTTTCTGGCTTATAGAAGCCACGTGGCAATATAGATGAGTATAAGACAGAGACTAGAGAGACCGAATCTCTCTGACTTTGACAGTACTTTTCTCTCTATCTGGACGGTAGACAAAAGTTGTACAGTTCCAGATTTTAGATCTCTTGATTATCTTTTAATCACAACCGTCAAAACTCAAAACCAACCACAACCAACGGCTACTATTAACACCGTACACCCAATTAATAAGATAGCCGACTCCCAAAAAAAAGTGAAAAGGAATAAAACAAATCGTGAAATTAATGTCAAATCTCAGAAAAAAGCAATAGTAGTGGTAAAATCATAAATGATACTACTCTTCATGGGTCGTATATGATAAGGCTCCACCTAATAAGATTATCTGAATTTTCGAATTATATTTCTGCACTTTACTATTTGTATCACCCAATTTTGATAATGTTGTGTTGTCAAGTCTAATCTCATGATAAAAGCGTATCTTTATGTGTCAATTATTTGTATGCATTTTCAATTTTTCATAGTGCAAAGATTCGTTTCTAAATTCCAACGTGATAATTGTTTTTGTGTTGAGTGCTTTTGTGGAAGCTTCATACATTATTTCTCACTGGCGTTGCTTTTTGAATGCATTGCTTATTTTTGAAAAATGTCATTATGCTTTTATGATTTTTACCAGAGCAAATAAAATAGCATCAACTATTTGTGTTGGATTTTAGTATTTAAAATCCTCAAAATAAGCTAAATACATTCATAAATTTGTTGAGACCTCTCTCTCGAGTCTCGACCAAAAACAAGAGAATTAGAAATTATCCTTTTCAAAACTCGTTTATCAAACTATTCAACAACTAAATAAAAAATTTAAACAAAAGTAAGTTATTTATGCATATATATTAAACTGAATGAGAGAAAACATTTGCACCAAACTTTTATCAATCGACGCAAATCCATGAAACTCAAAATACTGTATGAAATACCATACTCTATAAAACGGCGTTAACTCTTTACTAAACTATATATTTTCATATATATAGTAACCATTTTAATTCTAATGTATAGTATTTTACATTTCCACTCGGACCACTCCTATATTATTTTACTCCACCATGGTTCTACTGATCTAATTATGACATTCACAAAGTAGTACTCGTTGGGTATATAAAAGTAGCATGCTTAATACTTTACTCTTTATTGTGATAATAATCAGAATCATCAAGCTATGGAAAAGATGACGGTCACAAAGTTCTCAATTATATAACTCCGACAAATCATTAATTTAAATATCAAAGAAATTAGTAGTAATAATTTAACCCATGGACTGTTTAAAGAAGAGTAAGCTAAATAAGAGAAATTAAGGAACCGTGATTAAGGTTGTCTGTCAGTCTTTGTCTGCAGCATTATAGCCGATCAAGGAAGAAATCTGGGAGTTTGGTAATATGGAGACAAGAAATGACCTCTGATAATCCCATTTTTATACTAATAAAATTCCCAAAATACCCATCTTTACTTGACCGAAAACACACAACGAGTTTGGTAATACGGGGACAAGATTTGACCTCTGATAATCTTGTTTAACAAATTTCCCATATTACCCTTCCTTACTTGACCAAAACTCACAAAGAACGACTCTTGGTTGGTTCGGCTTTTCCGGCATATCGGTCTCACACGTGGGTGAACCATGTCCAATGGTTCATAAAATTCAAAAAGCTTACCCGTTTAAATAAGATAATGTTCTATCATTTAATGTAACACAATAATTCTTGTTATTTTCATGTAAACGTAGACAAACTCGAAAAAAAAAGAGTATCTATTGGAGCTTATTAAATTCTACTCATGATCTAAAGTTCTAAACTATAAGATGACAAAATATTCCTCGTATCACTCGAGTTTAAATATATGATCCGGATGGTAATTAAAGCCAATAGTAGTATAAAATAATAACGACAAAAAGAAAGAGAGAGAGAGAAGGGTTTCGTGTAAAATGTCCAAATTCATTTGAACCTTCCCAAACATTGAAATATGTGCAAGTCCTTTGGGACAGAGTCGATAGGAGTGTGATCCTAACAGACCAGAGAAAGATCGTCGAATCCTCCATTTCTTTTTATGGCAACTATATATTATTAGGATTACCTTTTATTTATTTATACTTTATTTATTATACATACTCACTAATTTAATTGGTGTAATTTTACTTGTCCTAGTAAATAAGATCCTCTATTTTCCCAGTAATTTTTTAAAAAGTATAAAGTCTCTTAAAAAAAACTTAAGTCCTTTTTTGATCTAAAAAGTTGTTGAGTCCTATATTCAATCATTATGGATACTACTAGTATTATAAAAACAGAACAAATTCTCAAGTTACACTTGTTTTTTTTTTTTTGGTGGTCAACCACATAACTTGTTGTATAATTGTTTTTTGTATATGTTTTTTCTGTTGTCTGTATTTTTTTAGTGTCTATGTAAACTCTCTTTGAAACTAATAAAGAAATTTTGTTTCTTTTTTTTTGGTCAAGAGAAAAATATGTTTTCATTCAATAAAAAGGTTTAAAAATGCCTATGGGATTGGAATAATCCTTGGAATAATAAGATAGAAAACAAAATAGCACGCTTTGCTTCCTCCACTAAACTTCCTTTAAGGGCAGAGAGCAGAGAGAGAAAGATTGATTGCGTGTGTTTCACACCAATAAATTCCTTTTCACTTTTATTTTTTTTACTTTCGTACTATTTGCTTGGTCTCCAATTTTACTAAACTTCCAGTGAATTTCCAATTTGATCCCTTTATTTTCCTCTGGATTTATCACTGCCTCTCCTTGATGGTATAAATCCAACTTCTTCTACTTCAAGAATCTAGAGATAGAGAGAGAGAACACAAAGTGGGGGAAAAAAAAAAAACCCACCATAAAGTTTTTACATTTTTTCCCCTAAAAAACGAAAGCTTTGGTTTTGTATAAAAGACCTCTCTAGCTTCTCATTCCATTTCCACCTCTCTCTCTCTTTTGTTTTCTAATTTGCTTCAAGAGGTTTTGGATAGTGTTGCAGAGAGATTTTAACTAATGGGTTTATAAAAATTTGTTCTTTTGCGTGAACAAGTTGTCAACTTTTAGACAAATTTTCATTTGAAGTGTTTTCTTGTCGAAATTCTTCTTCTTTTAGTCAAAGAACGCAAAGATTAATGGAGGGTTATTCAAGAAACGGTGAAATCTCTCCGAAGCTGCTTGACTTGATGATTCCACAAGAGAGAAGAAATTGGTTTCACGATGAGAAAAACTCTGTTTTCAAAACAGAGGAGAAGAAGCTTGAGCTAAAGCTTGGACCACCTGGTGAAGAAGAAGATGATGATTCATCGATAATAAGACACATCAAGAAAGAACCAAAAGACAAATCTATCCTCTCTCTCGCTGGCAAACACTTCTCTCCTTCTTCCACCAAAACCACATCCCATAAAAGGTTTTATAAACTTCATCTCTTTACTTTTTTTTGTTTTTATATGTTTTGTATCCTTTTGACATGATGATATTCACTTGTTATTAGCCAATAAGGTCCCATCTATCTGCATAAACTTTGTTCTTGTCTGCTTTAAGATTGGATCTCAAAACTTTTCTTCTTTTTACCCTTTTCCCATCTGAAAGTTTCAGTCTTTTTTACCCTTGTTTCCTCTGTTTTTTACCCTTGAGATTGTTTTATTAACAAGTTTTGTTTTGATGGCTGTCTGTTTTAAAGAACTGCTCCTGGTCCAGTGGTGGGATGGCCTCCGGTTCGATCATTCAGAAAGAATTTAGCTAATGGAAGCTCTTCAAAGCTTGGAAATGACTCAACCACTTCCAATGGTGTTTTCCTCAAGAACCAAAAGTGTGATGATGATGTTAAGACAATGGAACCAAAGAGACAAGAAGGCATGTTTGTGAAAATCAACATGTATGGTGTTCCCATTGGTCGTAAAGTTGATCTCAGTGCTCATAATAGCTATGAGCAGTTGTCTTTCACTGTTGACAAGCTCTTCAGAGGTCTTCTTGCAGGTAACTTTGAAACCTTTTGACTCTCTCTTGATTATGACCAAAAAGATAAATTCTTTTTGACTCTTTTTGTTCTGATTTTATTAGCTCAAAGAGACTTATCATCATCTATAGAAGATGAAAAACCAATCACTGGATTATTGGATGGGAATGGAGAATATACTCTTACTTATGAAGACAATGAAGGAGACAAGATGCTTGTAGGAGATGTTCCATGGCAGTAAGAATCTTTTCTTTTTTTTTTTTCCTTTTTCAGCTTTTTGTTCTATCAAAAGGACAAGAATTAGATTCCTAGTCAAATATTTATTATATCTTAATCACACTTTGATCAAGAACACACTTAGTTTTGGTAAACTATTTGATAACTAAAATTGAATTTTTCTTGAATTGTCAGAATGTTTGCATCTTCAGTGAAGAGGCTGCGGGTGATTAAAAGCTCTGAGATTTCTTCAGCATTAACATGTAAGTGTGGGATTTAAAAACATTTTTACTTGTCTTAATGACTCTTTATGTGAAGTTATAAGTTTTTTGTTTTGAATTTTGCAGATGGAAATGGTAAGCAAGAGAAGATGAGAAGATGAAGAAAAAGATCTTTTACAGCTTTTAAAAGAAGTAGAGAAATGTTATTAATTGCATTTTGCCTTTAAACTTTGATCAGTTTTTGGTCTTGATAAGTCTGATGTACATTCTGGTCTGTTACATCTTCTTTTGGCTTTTGAGATATCATAGAGTTTTGTTGGAACTCAAAACCAAACAGTGCAATGATGATTTTGGGTCTTGAGTAAATTTACAAACCCTTTTTAGACATTATATTCTCATATGTTTTAAAGCTTTGGTAATGATTAGTCACACTTGATTAAACACTTTAAGAACATCACTTTTTAAGTATTGTAACTCTTTATATGTCTGCAAAGCATCTTTTTTGAAAAAAGGAAAAAAGAAACAATCTTTTTCTCTGCCAAAAGCTCTTTAGCTTTAAGCTATTGTAATGAACTATGAGAGTGAAAGGTTTTAAAACATTGAACAACTTTTCTTTAAATGAGTTGTGAGGACGGATGCGATCATACCAGCACTAATGCACCGGATCCCATCAGAACTCCGCAGTTAAGCGTGCTTGGGCGAGAGTAGTACTAGGATGGGTGACCTCCCGGGAAGTCCTCGTGTTGCATCCCTCTTTTTTGTGGTAAAAAATGTCGTCTCTCTTTTCTCTCTCTGACCCGGAGCCCGAGACGGCCAGAAACAGAAATGGATTCAAATTGGTTTAGATCTAACCCACTTTCTGTTGCCATTTCAAGCAATTTTCAAAGTATCCTTTGGATATTGAGATGGAGCTTCGCTTTTTCAAACAGATCCTTTGTGTTTTCCTCTTATCCTTCTCTTCTTTTTACCTCTTTTGCGCCATCAAATACTCACTCTTCTGCTAAACTTTTCTTCACTTTCTCCTTTCGACTTTTCCTAAGACTTTTTGTGGCTCTTGCTATCTTTTGCTGCTGTTTTTCTGTGCTCTGCTCGTGTAAGAATGAAGAACTCTATCAGAGATGGCCAAGCTACCAGAGACTCTCCCTCCTCTGAGGATGATGAACCTATCCAACTCCCTGCGCTTGATAACTCTGCCTTGATTCGCCGGTTCCGGTTCACGGTGGTGGGTCGAGTCTTTCACACCGGCGGAAGGAGTATGGAGGCTTTTCTGGCTTTTATGCCAAGTGCTGGGATTTGGGATGTTGAAGGCAGGGCTAGGGGTTTTGATCTAGGAAATGGAAGATTCCATTTCAACTTTGAATCAGAAGAAGACCTCCAGAAGGTCCTTAAGAAGAGGCCCTGTCACTTCAACAAATGGACATTCTCTCTTGAGAGATGGGAACTCAATTTCCAGGAGGATCTCCTGAGTTTTGTTACCTTTTGGGTGAAAATAAGAGACCTTCCATTGAGCTGCTGGGTTGAAGAGGCCTTCAGAGGCATTGGAGATGCTATCGGACGAGTGTCTGAAGTTGATGTCACAGAGGCCAGAGTCCTTGTAGCTGTGAATGTGACCAAGCCATTGAAATTCAAAAAGAGGGTCCTCACTGATAATGGAGAAGAAGTTATGGTGTCTCTCACCTATGAGAAGCTGTTTCGGTACTGTTTTACATGTCATTTGATTTCACATGAAGAACGGGACTGCCCTCATCTCTCTGAAAACCAGAAGCAACTCAACAAAGACAGGAGAGGTGGTATCTTTGCTAATGGTGGTCGCAGGCCTGAGGAAGAACGAGCTCTTGCTGTTCGCAGGGAGAGAGAGCATCGAGATGGCAATAGAAGCAGAGAGGAGAGACGAGGTGAAGCCCGTGTTTCGGGTCGCAGATCCACATCGGAGCTGTCTAGCAGAGCCACCAACCTTCCCTCTCAAAGCAGCAATCCACCAGCTTCCCGACAAGTGAGACGTAATCTCTATTTGACTAAGGAAGTACCAAGGTCAGATACAAACCGGAATCCGGTTTGGCAACGCATTGGAGTGGAAGCAGACAAGACACATCACCGTAACAGAGAACCGTCCATTCAATCCTCTTCGGGATCGCGGAAAAAACCTGAAGATGTTCCTCAGAGGACATTGGAGATACGCCGGAGTAGTGATGGTCATAGGATCCCGTTGCGAAGAAGAGAGTCTCCTCTTCGAATCAGATCACCTGCAAGAGAGGAGCCAAGCCTTGAGAACTGGAGAAGTTCTCGCCGTCCTCCTCGACACCAGTCAAACCGGTCGGAGAGAACACCATCGGCTCACCGTGATTTCCCTGCGGGCTGCGGCTCTAACCTTGCTGCTAAAGAAAAAGGGAAAGGCAAAATGGTGGATGTTGCTGCACACTGTGTGCTTGGAGACGATGAGGCGATTGACGCTGCAACTCCGGTCCCGGCGGATTTTGAATTCGGCTCTGGTTCCGGAACTGCTGCTGGTGCTAATGAAGTTTTGGATTCTTCTCTTCCTCACCCCCAAGAAATCACGACTGGACAGGGCAAAGAGTTTCCCGCATCTGCTGGCGAAGTGGGACGTGAAACAATGATGGAAGACGCCGCAGAGGAAGTCAACGAGGGGGAAGACTGGGTGGATGAGGACGATGGCTTAGCAGATTGGGCGGAAGACGACACAGGGTTGTCAGATTGGACAGAGGACGACACTCTTGCTAGGGTTCCTGACGAACAATTGGAGATTCAATGCACCCAAGGTGGTGATTCAATCCCCTCTGATTGGGAGAATTTGGTTGATGAGGAGGCTGATACTGAGAAGGAAATCACGGAGGAGGATATCCGGTTGATGCAAGAGCTAGAGAAGGAGATGATTTTGGATGGCCTTCTGGACAACGATGACTTATTGGGAGAGGAGCTGCTGGCCGGTGATAACGATGGGATGATGGATGAGGAGGACAGCCAAGAGAGGACACTATCTGAGGCGGTTGTCCCCATTGTTCATTCGCGAGTGGAGGTTCCGGCGACTTCTCAGTCACCGTCGAGCAAACGCCACCGGTCTCCGAGTCGTGAGAGATCTGTTACAAGAAGAAGCTCTCGTTCTGATGGACCAGCGGTTGGTGGGCCAGGAAGTGTAGTAACAGGCCCGGTTGATCAAAATGGGATTTCTGAGCCCAAAAATTCTGAGCCCAAGAAGACTGTGATTCCCCAAAGTCCAAAACTCTTCACAGCAGCTTCCAGAAAATTAAAGCTGTTTGGGCCTAAGATCTCGCCTAAGAAGAGGTCGGCCCCTCCGGTTTCGGGCCCACTTGGAGAGGCTCCATCACGATCGGTAAATAACAACCCTCAGCAGGAGGCGGTTTCAACCATGAACAACAAGGATAAGAAGAAGGAAGCAAAGGCAAAGAAGCCTATGATAGGTGAGGCGGAGTCCCGGATCTCCCCCGATCCGCCTACATGAGGACTCTTGCGTGGAATTGTCAAGGGGCGGGTGCAAAGAAAACGCGTCGTCGACTGGTGGAGTTGAATAAGGTGTACTCGCCAGGTTTTTTGTTTTTATCGGAAACCAAAAATGAGAGATTGTATCTGCAAGATGTGCAAGTAGAATTAGGTTTTGATAACCTTCAAACCGTAGAACCAGAGGGTTGTAGCGGCGGTTTAGCTTTAATGTATTCAAACGATTTCCCGGTTAAGTTTTTGTTGTTAGATGACCGGCTAATCGATATTGAAACTATTATTAATGGCACTCGGGTCTTTATGACATTTATCTATGGTGATCCTGTTGTCTTAAATCGTGATTATGTGTGGGAAAGACTAATGCGTATCGGAGTATCTCGGTCCGAAGCTTGGTTTATCATTGGAGACTTTAATGAGATAACCGGTAACCATGAGAAAAGAGGAGGGAAAAAAAGATCTGAAGCCTCGTTTCTACCATTCCGGGCTATGATCCATTCATGTGGTCTTATTGATTTTCCCTTCCACGGAAATCAATACTCATGGATAGGACAACGGACTAATGGTAAGATTAGATGCCGCTTAGATAGGGCTATGGGAAATGAAGAGTGGCATAATTGTTTTTCCCACACTAATGTGGAGTACTTAAAGATGTGGGGTTCGGATCATCGACCACTTTTGGCTTCTATTCAAGCTAGTCCGAGAAAATTCTCGAGAAAATTTATGTTCGACAAGAGATGGATAGGGAAGCCTGGGCTCAACGAAGCGGTACTGGAGGGGTGGAACGGAAATGATGGTCGGGTGGATCGATCCATCATAAAGAAAATCCAGAACTGTAAACGAGTCATCTCTATTTGGAAAAAATCAACCCGAACAAATTCGGAGATACTTATCAAGGAACTCCATGACAAGATTGAGGAAAATTATGCGGATGATAATGCTTCTCTCGAAGAACTTCGGGAGCTTAAAAAGAGATTGGAAGATGCCTACACAGACGAAGAAATATTTTGGTATCAGAAGAGTCGCCAAAATTGGTTGGCGCTTGGGGACAAGAATACAAAATATTTTCATGCTTCAACAAAACAGAGAAGGGCAAAGAATAAGATTCTTGGCATCCTAGACGATAATGGGGCTTGGGTTGATAATGAAGATGGCATTGAAAAAGTGGCCGTGGATTATTTTGCAAAATTGTTTTCTTCCTCGAACCCGATAGATCCGACTATAGCTCTTAAAGATATCTCACCATCGGTTACCCCCGCTATGAATGAGCAGTTAGTTAAAGAAGTCACCGAAGAAGAAGTTAAGCGCGCTCTATTCTCCTTAAACCCGACGAAGACTCCTGGTCCGGATGGGATGACTGCCCTTTTTTTTCAGCGGTTTTGGGATGTCATAAAGACCGATCTTACCAACCTGGTAAAGAACTTCTTTAGCTCTGGTTTGTTTGATGGGAAGCTAAATGAGACCAATATCTGTCTTATTCCAAAGCGGGAAAGACCGCGAGAGATGTCTGGGTTCCGTCCTATTAGCTTATGCAATGTAAGCTATAAGGTCATTTCGAAAATCTTAAGCTTGCGACTTAAGAAATTTCTTCCGGACTTAATTTCCGAGACGCAATCTGCATTTGTTGCAGGGAGACTAATTACTGATAATATCCTGATCGCCCAAGAAAATTTCCATGCACTCCGCTCTAATCCGGCAAACCGAAAAAAGTTTATGGCCCTAAAAACGGATATGAGTAAGGCGTATGATAGAGTGGAATGGGGGTTCCTCCGAGCTTTGATGGAGAGAATGGGTTTCGATTTTAGGTGGGTAGACTGGATAATGCAATGCATCTCTTCTGTCTCGTATCGGGTCCTGATTAATGGCGAGCCAAAAGGCCGGATCAGACCATCTCGAGGCATTCGGCAAGGGGACCCAATTTCTCCGTACCTATTTATTTTATGTACGGAAGCACTTATCGCTCAAATTCGAAGAGCCGAGGGGGAAGGCAAAATTCAGGGTCTTAGAATATCTTATGCAAGCCCTCGCGTCTCACATCTTCTGTTTGCTGATGATAGCTTATTTTTCTGTCAGGCCAATGCCGAACAGAGTAAAGAAGTGATTGACATCATCCGCTGCTATGGCGGGGCATCAGGACAAGAGGTGAACCTAGCTAAGTCATCCATCATGTTCGGTAATGAAGTTTCATCCTCAGTACGACACGAAATCAAATCGATTTTGGGGATTTCGCGAGAAGGCGGGATGGGGACTTATTTAGGCCTTCCTGAGAAAATTCATGGATCAAAAGCCCAGGTCTTCGCATTCGTGAGAGATAGACTACAAACTAGAGTTAACTCGTGGTCGTCAAAATTTCTGTCAAAAGGGGGAAAAGAAGTCCTTATTAAATCACAAGCACAAGCTCTTCCGACATATGTTATGTCGTGTTTTCTACTGCCTAAAGCAATCTGCTCTAAACTTACTAGCGCAATCGCCAACTTTTGGTGGAGTAATAAAGCAGAGAGTAGAGGAATTCACTGGATAGCGTGGGACCAAATTTGTACTCAACTTTCAGAAGGAGGGCTAGGATTTAGATCTCTCGAAGATTTTAATCTCGCACTTCTAGCGAAGCAATTATGGAGATTATTACGATTCCCGGATTCTCTCCTTAGTAGGGTCCTTAAAGGGCGTTATTTCCGGTACTCTAGTCCGTTAGAGATCACTGTCTCAAATCGACCGTCGTATGGTTGGAGAAGTATGTTGGCAGCCAAAGACGTTCTTAAATCTGGAATCCGTAAGACCATTGGATCGGGGTTCGGAACTTGTATTTGGACCGATCCCTGGATTCCGGATTCTCCGGCACGACCACCTAAGGGACTAACGAGTGGGAGAGACCCGCTGACTTATGTCAACACCTTGATTGACTTCGGGACGAAACAGTGGAAGATGGATCGGCTTCGGGAACTGTTTCCCCCGGAAGAAATTACCCTTATATTAGGGATTAAACCGAGCCTTAATGTCTCGAGAGATGGATATTGCTGGACTTTGACAAAGTCTGGTAATTACACTGTCAAAACTGGATATGAGATCGCGAGAAATATCTCTCGCCCTGCTTGCGACCACCCTTCTCAGGGACCTAGTGTTACGACACTTAAGGCGCAAGCTTGGAAATTAAAAACTACGCGAAAATTAAAACATTTCGTGTGGCAATGTGTGTCAGGTTGCTTGGCTTCGTGTCAACGACTATTTTATCGCCATATTGGTAGAGATAAAGGATGTTCAAGATGTGGTGCAACAGAAGAAACAATTAATCACTTAATCTTTGAATGCCCTCCAGCTAGACAAGTCTGGGCCCTCTCCAATATCCCATCCTCTCCAGCCTTATTCCCCTCACCTTCACTCTACAATAATTTAGATTATCTGTATTGGCGGGGCAAAGAGGCGGGTGCAGACGAAGAGAGCCTAAGAGTTTTTCCATGGATCATGTGGTATATTTGGAAGGCGCGCAATCGGAAGATTTTTGAGAATCTGAGTGTTTCACCTCAGGAAACCTTAGACCTAGCAACTCAAGAGGAAGAAGCGTGGAGACGTGCAAACCTTCAAGAAGACCCCCAGGTCGAGACGGTTCAGAGCATGCAAGTGACGTCAATTCCCGAGGATAGACCGGTCTGTTATATTGATGGATCGTGGCATGGAGCGGAAGCTAGGAGCGGGCATGGTTGGCTTGTTTATTATGGCGGAAGCTTGGTGCACTTAGGATTAAAAGGCTCGCGTCGAAGTCTTTCCCCCCTTCATGCGGAACTTGAGACTTTATTGTGGACGATGAAGTGCTTAGTGGCGATTCCTTTGACGAGTATCCTCATTCTGACAGATTGCTCGGATCTTTTAGAGATGACTTCTAACCCGGAGGCGTGGCCCACGTTTTCTACAGAATTGCTGGATTTTGCGTATTACAGGGATTTATTTTCTTCTTTTAGTTTGAAACATATCCCTCGTAGTGATAATTCTTCCGCCGACCATCTTGCGAAATGTGCAAGAGGTCGCGGGTTCTGTTTTTCCCATGTAAGTTCGACGGTACCCGATTGGCTCTCTCTAGAAGAGAGTTCTGTTCCGTGAATTAATATATGGTGCTTGATTGACAAAAAAAAAAAAAAAATGAGTTGTGAGGACAGATATTCAAACCAATGTCTAACCACATCTTTCATCTTTGTCTTGGACTCTTGGGCAACAAAATTACATATATAGTACATCATTATATTTGATATAACTTAGGTTGATGCATGTATAATCATCTCAACTTGGGTTGTTCACATGTATACATACGAATACGATCAAATCGTTTAATTGAAAAAGGAAGAAAAATTGGTGGCTATGGAATATTGATAAAGAGAGTATAAAATAGAAGAATTGAAGAGTCTTTTTCGTTGAGAGACTTGCCTAAACTATTCGAAGCAGCAATATGAGACTTAATAGTTACTTTTTTCTTTTTGCCTTCGAAAATGTTCATTCTATATTCTTTTGTAGTCTACAGTGATATTGATGGCCAATTGTGTTGTCCTCTCATCATTTTAGGACCACTCTATCTAGTCCAAAAGATTAATATTCTGGTTTTAAGTTCAAGTAATAAGCCATGTTTGCTCTTATAATAATGTGTTTGTATCAAAATATATTTATCAATGTTTTAACAACTAAATAAAACTGAAAAGAAACTTTCATTGCTAGCGGAAAATTGTAAATTTAAGGAAAAGAGGCATGATGCGGAAAACTCTAAAAGGAAAAATGTCCAATGCCAAAGCCCAAATTAAAGAATAGGAGACTTAATACTAATCAAAAGGGTATAAGAATTGATGTTGTCGAGAAACCCTAGTCCAAAGGGATATGACATATGAGATATTGTGTTGTTAGAAAATTCGAATTCTAGAGGAAGTAAGCTTTTGCAGTGACATGTCATTCTAAATTCGGATGGAACTAGAATTTCACATCGATCTATAAAAAAGAGAGATCGGAGAGAAGATAAGTCATATCCAACATCGGTACGAACGGAAACCGACGTTTAGTAGAGCTACCACATTGCATTTACCAAAGAGTTCAAATTCTTGTTTAAGATCAAGTAATAAGTCCAGTTTAACCTAAATGCAATATGGTTGAATGATAAATAAGGTACAAAAATATTCCAAATAATGAAATCTATTTCAATAAACATTTTAACGTTTAAAAGATGTTCATTTTAATGTTGAAGATTTTTTCTATAAGCTGTAAAATTAAATTTATTTTAATGATTGAGTTTTCTTTGATAAAATATAATAATTTGATTTCATTCTATACTCATAAAATGAAAATATTACTATGTTATAAACAGAAATTTTGCATTTGGCAAAAATCGAGTAGTTTAGTGAACATATCTTTAAGCGATGGATTTTCACAAGTTTGGTCATGGACATAATAAAGTTGGTGTGTTGAAAATGTGTAATCCATTTAATCGAGTCATTGCCATTATTGGTGATACTTTGGTCAAATATCCGTCAATGTAGACAATTATATTACTCCGAATTTGACGTTTTTCTTAATAACATCCGATCTACCGAATCATACACATGTAGTATAGTATCATTTATTCATTATCAAAAAAAGAGAAGATTGTAGAAATAAGTACTAAAATTTCAAAAAAAAAAAAAACGTTCCATTACCCCATTTAAACCGATCAATCAGTGCACTGATTATGTTTTAGCCATTAAGAAGAAAATATCTTATCATAATTAGCATTTTTAATTAAATCGAGTTATGTATAGAGTGAAATGTGACATTCTTAATTATGGGAATTACGATAAATATTGGAGTCGGTGACTCTTAACACATTGCTCCATATATATAACATTAAGCACTGTTTTTTTCTTATTCGTGTGAGAAGCAAATTTTGTATGAGGCAGAGAAACAACTTTTGTCATTTGCAGGCGAGTTCTACTTTAATTTATTTGTTTAATCGTTTTTAAGTGTAATTAACACTTCTATTTTACTCTTTGATTTCATAAGGTTTTCCTCTTTTTCCATTTTATTTGAATATTTTTACTCTAGACGAAAATTATGGATTGTGTAAAAATGAATCCAATCAAAAATAATTAGAAAGAATTTTGATTTGTCTCTCCATGACATCATTTTTTGTCTTCTAATTCAGGTTTCACGAGGCTGTGTCAGATTTTTTCTGTATTTTGAAACTTCTTTTTCTATTTTGTTCAAACCATGATCTTCTTTTCTTCAAAATTATTTATCTATTTACTATCCAAATTTTACACTCTGTGAAATGTTTTGTATTTTCTATCATCCTCTACACGTAGAAATATTATCACTTTATAGTATATATATGATTTTATTTTAAATTCAATAGGAATATAGGATGATGATTCTTACTTTTTTTTTAAGAGTGATAAGACCATCCGCAGTGGTGTAAGTGTGAGGGAGGGGTGTAAGATTTTTTTTATTATTATAATTTAAAGTGAGAGAGAAAAGAGAGAGAGAAAGAAAGAGAGAGAGAGAGATAGAGTGGCTTACACCCGAGTGTAAACTTACACCCGGGTGTGAAGAGAGAGACAACTTTTACATTATTTCTGTATTTTAAAATAGATACACCCCACGCAAGGTTACACGACTGCGGATGCCCTAACAAGTATTGTCAGTTCATTGCTGTTCAATTTTTCTGTTTATCTCATGATTACAGTGTAAGAAAAATAATATATCCATTTTGGTCATAGTAATACACTTCTTTTAGCTATATTCATAACAATGTTCTATAGTAAAATGTTTTGGATTTTTGTGAGGATATATAACCACTGACATATTGAAAATTTTAACAAGTGATAAAAACAAAGTTTGAAAGTAAATAAATTTTCAAATTAAATGCAACGAAATTTTGTTTTCTTCTCTACATACAAAACGTTTTGGGTATTCGTGAATTTGTCGTTCTTTAACAATTTTTTTTCTGAATCATCACATCGCAGACTACCAAAACATAAGTGTTCTTGATTCTTTGAAATCGATATGGGCAGAGCAGTGAGATGGTTTAAGGGCTTTTTTGGTATGAAGAAGAGTAAAGAAAGAAGTCACGTTTCCGGCGGCGACTCCGACAAAGGTGGCGACCATTCCGGCGACTTCAATGTTCCTAGGGACTCTGTTTGGTTGGGAGCTTTCGTGACGGATACAGAGAAGGAACAGAACAAGAACGCAATTGCGGTTGCAACGGCCACGGCCACTGCCGCAGAAGCAGCGGTTTCGGCGGCTGAAGCGGCTGCGGCTGTGGTTAGACTGACCAGTGAAGGAAGAGCGGGAGATATGATCTCCACGAGGGAGGAGCGGTGGGCCGCCGTGAAAATACAAAAAGTCTTCAGGGGCTCTTTGGTAATTTCGATCTTCAAAACATTTTTTTATTTTCTTTTCAAAAGATCAATTTTGTTTTTAAAGCAAATATCAAATTTTGGCAAATGGGTGTTGTTCATTTTCGAACTTTTTTATCAGCAACAAAAGACAAATTTGAAAATTTTCTTTGGAGATCAAATTTTCAAAAATGGGTGTAGTTTGAATTTTAATTATAAACAATAGTCCAATTTTTTGAAAAAAATTCTTCAAAGATCATATTTCTTAAAATGGGTATTGTTAGAGTTCGAATTTTCGATTAGAAACAATTGTCATATTTTAAAAAATTTCTTCAAAGGTAAAATTTTGGCAAATGGGTGTCCTTAAAGATCTAATCTTTGGTTTATGTAATAATAGTCAATTTAATTTTTTTCTTCTATTATATGGTTAGGCGAGGAAAGCATTAAGAGCTTTGAAAGGTATAGTGAAGCTACAAGCGTTAGTGAGAGGATACTTAGTAAGGAAACGCGCGGCCGCGATGCTGCAAAGAATACAAACTTTGATCAGAGTCCAAACCGCTATGCGATCTAAACGTATCAATCGCTGTCTCAACAAAGAGTACAACAACATGTTTCAACCTCGACAATCTCTTGTAAAGAACCAATCTCACTTCTCTTGGTAGTCTCTTTTTTTTCTTTAAGCTTAAAACAAGACTAAAGTGTGTTTTTTGTTGATAGGATAAGTTCGATGAAGCAGCGTGCGATGAGAGAAGACCAAAGATTGTAGAGATGGACGATACATACATGAGGAGATCAAGTTCAAGATCAAAATCTAGACAAGTGCACAATATTGTTGCAATGTCTGACTATGAAGACGATTTTGTTTACAAAGCAAATGATGTAGAGTTGAGTTTCTCGGATGAGAAGTGGAAGTTTGCTACGGCGCAGAACACACCGAGATTCTCGCACCACCATTCTGCTAATAATCGCTACTATGTAATGCAGTCTCCAGCTAAGAGTGTTTGTGGAAACACTTTGTGTGACTATGGACGCAGTGTGAGTACTCCTGGCTACATGGAGAAAACAAAATCCTTTAAGGCGAAGGTACGGTCACATAGCGCACCGCGTCAGCGATCTGAGAGGAAGAGGTTGTCGCTAGATGAAGTTATGGCGTCTAAGAGTAGCGTTAGCAGTGTGACTATGCTGCAGCAGCTACCACCACGCTATTCTTGTTCCTATGATCCGTTTTGATTTCCATGGAGGAATTTAACTTCTTTTTTAAACAAAATCTTCCTTTCTTTTTGGTTATCTTATTATTGTACATTTGTTTCTCAATGATCTTTCAAAACGTTATCTTCCTCATGAGTTTAGCAAGTTGTTTTTGGTGGGTTTTGGCTAATTTATGTTTCATAAATTGAAAGTATCGGTCAAGCTAGGTATGTAATCTTGTTCTCTGAACTTCTAATTCCACCAACTCAAGAACAAGCAAACATTGAGAAAACCTAATTAATTCCTTAACCAGCAATTTCAAGAAAATTTAATTCTTCTCATTGAGAAAATTTCTAACTCATCACTCTTTGATAACATTAGTACATTACAATAGCCTAAGAGCAAAACCTTCAAACACCAATGAGTTATTCTCCTGATTCAAAATTTTCAGTTCTCGCACAAACTTGCCAGCGCAGATTATAATACTAACCTGATCAACAAGCAGAGCGACGCGGAGAAGACAGTGTATTTGTGAAGACTGCATTAGAAACTCAAGAAATCTGCAGTTTCCATTCTTCAGTTTAGGATCATTCTCCGACCTCATTTCACTAATTTACAGAGGGCTGACAACCCAACCCGTTATCGGATTCTTCCTACGGATACGAGATTTTCCATGAGAGCCAGACTGCAACCGTTCAAGCACAGTGTAGGTAATGGAATCCGGTGTGAGTCCTTGCTGTTTCATCTTTGTGTACAGATCAACTGCTTCCGCGGTTCTCCCGCTCTTCTCTAGACAATCAAGCAAAATGTTGTACGTCACAATGTTTGGTTGACACCCTTTAACAAGCATCTCTTCGAACAAACTATACGCCATTTCAACTCTCTCTGTCTTCCCAAAACATTCCATCAGAGTGCTGTATGTGACCACATCAGGGTTTAATCCTTTCTCTTGCATCTCCTTGAATCTCACATGGGCTTCATCAACATCACCGTTCTTCCCCAAACAATTAATCAAAGAGTTGTAAGAAATAATGTCGGGTTTACAGTCACTCCTCTCAAGCTCCTCAAATATGTTAATAGCCTCATCAACTTCTCCTACCCGACCAAAACTAGAGATAAGTATATTGTAGGTGAATATATCTGGAGAAGGACCGTCCTTTTTCATTTTCTCGAAGAGATCATGAATATGAGATATTTGCTTTAGCTTCCCAAGCGCCGAGAACACAGTGTTGTACATCATAGTATCAGTAACCACACCTTTCTCATGAATCTTGCTCAACATCTCTATAGCTTCAACGGTTTTACCCGCACCACACAAACTCTCTAGCATCGACATGTAACTATCTCTCTCTCCTTTCACAGGGAAGCTCCACATATCACAAAATAGCCTGTGAGCCTCACTTACATGTCCCAACTTGCTCAACGTTCTAACCAAATAAGAATATATCCCCTGAGTCATATATCTTTTCGAAATCTCCACAATCCCATCTAACCTCACAAGCTGACCTTCAGCTACTAAGAGATTCAAAACAAGACTATACGTATACTCATTCGGCCGACAACCCGTTTCCACCATTCTAGAGAAAACCTGAATCGCCTTATCAACCATTTTCCCTTTCGCAAGAACTTGCATCAAAGTATTATAACCAACAACATTAAGCGTAAGCCCTTCGGTAATCATCTCATTGAATAAACCAACAGCTTCATCATACTTCCCAATCCTCCCCATAGTCCTGATCATAATCGTGTAAGAATACTCATCTCTTCTACAATGCCTCTTCTTCATATCTTCGAAAACTTGACAAGCCTGATCAATCTGACAAAAGGCTGCACACAATTATACATAAAAACCAAAACTTTACTTAAAAGAGTTCTATGAATCAAAAACAAGTGAGAGCTCTCTCAAAAAGAAAGTACCTTTTCATCTTTAGCTAAAGCATCAAGCAACATATTGTAAGCAAAGATATCAAGTTTATGTCCTCCTCTTCTAATCTCACAATACACATCAAAAGCTTTAGAAGAATCACGAGATCTTAAGTAAGCTTGAAGAAGACACTTGTAGGTAAAAGAGTTCATCTTTAAACCCCATTTCTTCACCAATCTTAAACACATTTGTAAATCTTCCGTGTCACCGAAGAAACCTATTAAGATATTCACAGTTGATATGTTTCCATGGACGTTAGATTTTACCATGGAATCGAGAATCGAGCGAACACGATCGAATCTGTCTGAAAGATTTGACCTTGAGAGGATTAAGATGATACGATTGTAAAGGAAAGGGTCATTTTGTGAATTGGGGCAAAGAGAAGGGACGAATTTGAAAAATTCGACGGCGAGGAGAGGAGAATTTAGGGATTTGAGAATCTCTGAAGCTTCGTCGGGAGTGAGGGAGAGTGAGAGAGAAGAGAGGTAATCAGAGAGGTCAGAGAAAGCATCGGAGAGAATAGTAGCTCCGATGATGAGATTTGTGGCTCTGCAGATGAGATGGCGGCGAGGTAGAGGGTAGCCACGTACGTCGGCGGGGAGAGGATTAGGAAGAGAAACTTCGGCGGAGAGAGATCGGCCGGAGGGAGATGATGAAGTGACTTTGGCGACGTACTTTGTGGCGTATTGACGCCGGTTTGGTTTGGTGATTGTATTGACGGAGTTGAAGAAACGGCGGCGAAGAAGCTTCATTTTGCGGCGGAGAAGGAAACGAGTTCTCTCTTCAGTTGATGAAACTCAAAGGTAAAGAGATGAATCTATGGGCCTAAATGGGCCTTGATATTGATTAGAGCGTTTAAATGGGCCTTAATATTTTCTAGTTTTCATCTTGACGTGGATTTTGTAAGGGCATGTCTTTTGTTTGTAAGATTTAGAGGACGATTTGTTTTTTTTTTTAATAATTAAGAGGTGGTAGGTCTAGGTCGGTAAATCCCTAATATGATTTCCTTCCAAATGTTACTCGAACTGGTGATCATTAAACTTTGTTTGAAAAACGATTTTTACAAACAAGTCCTTTGGAAATAATTTTTCAAAAGTGTTATATGAACACGATCTTCAAAGCGAAATTTAGATAAATGATCTATGCTAATGATTTCAGTTTCAAGAGATTTTAAAACTAAATCGTAAAGGCAAAATCGTTTCATCAAATGAAGAAACGATTGTGTTTTGTGTTGGTACTACGATTTAACGTTGTTATCTTAAATTTTTGTTCGAGATTTAGTTCATAATAACATATTGAATGCCAATATGGCATACACATCACATTCGAGTAAGATGGCTTATGAAGAAGGAACATAACATGTTTAACAACATGTTAGCGAGTAAGGCTTATCGAAAGAAAGCATCGTCAAATTCACTTTTTCATGTTCACCATCTTCAGTATATGGCACATAGTTTTGTTTATGTAATAAATTGTTTCCTGAAGTTTTGTAATGGTTTTGTACTTGCTATTGTAATACCAATTGTCTAATAAAGGTTTTTAGAAGGAAAAAAAATAATAATAACATATTGAATTTTTTTTTGCTCTATTAAAAAGAAGTTGAGATTTAGTTCACATCATAAATTTTGCAAAAAAAGTTTAGGTAAAATTGCTATAGATTGGTTGTTTTTTTGTTCCTTTTACAAATTTTTCCAATAATTATGATGAATAGAACGTAAAAAGATATAAAATAATTTATTATTTATTATTGTAAAGATTAATAAAACCCACATAAAAAAAAGTACTGTAATTAAAATTTAAAACCCCTAAATAAATAAATATCTCTATGATAGTTGAAAAGAGAAAAATAAGAGAAAATTACTTAATATGGTGGAGGAGGAATCTTCGAGTCCACTTATCCCACGTAAGTCCAATTTCATCGTTTGTTTTGTAACCTTTAGCTTTGACCATATTGTACCATCCTCCTCTCAACATATACCTGCCGCTGCACTTGATCAGTGATAATGTGTAATCATCAGATTCATGACCTTCCTCTACAATATGGACTTTCACTTCAACACCGTTTCCCAAATTCTCGACCAAACCACGTTCCATCTGCGGTATTATTTTCTCAAAATCTTGTTTCGGTAGAATAACAAAACCACTATGACTAAGATCACTCTCGGTTAGATTCTTCTTTAGAACCCATGGATCATATGGAGCTAAACCCAATTCCAAATCGAGTTCTTGAGCCATCGTTACTAAACTATATGAATATTTTTTTACTTGTGTTAATGGTATTAGTGAGATTGAGAAATAAAGCTTTCTTACCTATGTGTATTTATAGAACAATTCTTGGATTCACCCCCTCTAAAGTAGCCAATCAAAATTTACCATGTAATCTAATTAAGTAAATAAAAACAATTAATATCTTATTATATAAAGTATGGTTTTCAAAGTTACTAACTATCGTGCCACGTGTCAAATTTATCAATCTCAGATTTTGACATGTGTAAATAAAATTTTCCTTTTATTTATTTTTATAATATATATATATATAAATAAACTATACATACGTGTCAAATTTATCGATCTCAGATTTTAATACGTGTAAAACAAAAATTTTCTTTTATTTATTTAAAAGAAAATTTTATAAGGAAACTATACCTATATATCTTATATAAAAAATTTCTAAAAATCTAAAGATAATTATAAGGAAACTATCTATATCTTATTAAATAAAAATAGAAATTAAAGGAAAAAAGTGTAATTTTGTTAATATATTAGACTTTGACAAGCGTCAAGTCTAATTTTGTTAATATATTTGGTGACAAAAATAGAAAATTTCCTAACCCAATCGAAAAAAGAAATATATACATAAAAATAAAAATGTTTATATATTTTAATTTTTTATTAATATATTAAACTATTAAAATATTTATATTAATTTTTTAAATATATTCAAAACAGATGTAAAAGTTATTTATTTAATAGATTTGGTTTTCAAAATATTTTTTCGGAATAGTTTAAGTATAGAAAAAGTTTGTGGGTTATTATTTAGAATGAGGTTGACTATTTTTTTTTTTTGCTCTTATCATTAAGATGGAGTGTGTAGAATTAAAATTTAAACTAATATCATGAAATAAATAGTTAAATTGTATTGCAAAATAGAAATATGTAAGATTAGAATACGGTTAAAAATAGTTAGATTTAGAACGAAAATCTCAAATACCTCCAAATTAAAAAAAAAAATCAACTAAAACCTTCAAATTGAAAATATTTTCCAATTAAAACCTCATATTATTTTTGGTTCTCATATAAAACCTCCAACTAATTAATTTTGTCTAAATAATGATGAGATTGGTGGCTTTGCAGATGAGATGACGGCGAGGAAGAGGGTAGCCACGTACGTCGGCGGGGAGAGGATTAGGAAGAGAAACTTCGGCGGAGAGAGATCGGCCGGAGGGAGATGATGAAGTGACTTTGGCGACATACTTTGTGGCGTATTGACGCCGGTTTGGTACGGTGATTGTATTGACGGAGTTGAAGAAACGGCGGCGAAGAAGCTTCATTTTGCGGCGGAGAAGGAAACGAGTCCTCTTCAGGTAAAGAGATGAATCTTTTCGTTTAGATGGGCCTTAAAACTGATTAGAGCGTTAAATGAGCCTTAAAATTTTCTAGTTTTCATCTTGATGTGGATTTTTAAAGGCATGTCTTAATTTTTTTGTTTGTAAGATTTGGAGGACGAATTTTTTTTTTTAATAATTAAGAGGTTGTAGGTCTAGGTCCGTATATCCCTAAAACTTTATATGGTTTTCTTCTAAATGTTATTTGAACTGGTGACTTCTAAATTTTGTCTAAAAAACGATTTTTTACAAACAAGTCCTTTGGAAATAATTCTTCAAAAGTATTATAAGAACATGATATTCAAAGCGAAATATAGATAAATGATCTATGATAATGATTTCAATTTCAAGAGATTTTTTCTTTCTTTTAAAACTAAATCGTAAAGGCAAAATGGTTACATCAAATAAAAAAAACGATTGTGTTTTGTTTTGTAACTACGATTTAAGGTTGTTAGCTTAGATTTTTGTTCAAGATTTAGTTCAATATAACATGTCGGATTTTTTTTTCTCTATTGAAAGGAGTTGAGATTTAGTTCACATCATAAATTTTGCAAAGTTTTTAAGGTGAAATTGCTATAGATTGGCTGTTTTTTTATTCCTTTTACAAAATTTTCGAATAATTATGATGAATAGAACGTAAAAAGATATAAAATAACTTTTTCTTTATTATTGTAAAGATTCATAAATAAATATCTCTATGATAGTTGAAAAGAGAAAAATAAGAGAAAATTACTTAATATGGTGGAGGAGGAATCTTCGAGTCCACTTATCCCACGTAAGTCCAATTTCATCGTTTGGTTTGTAACCTTTAGCTTTAACCATATTGTACCATCCTCCTCTCAACATATAGCTGCCTCTGCACTTAAGCAGTGTTAATGTGTAATCATCAGATTCATGACCTTCCTCTACAATATGGACTTTCACTTCAACACCGTTTCCCAAATTCTCGACCAAACCACGTTCCATCTGCGGTATTATTTTCTCAAAATCTTGTTTCGGTAGAATAACAAAACCATTACCACTAAGATCACTCTCGCTTAGATTCTTCTTTAGAACCCATGGATCATATGGAGCTAAACCCAATTCCAAATCGAGTTCTTGAGCCATCGTTACTAAACTATATGAATATTTTTTTACTTGTGTTAATGATATTAGTGAGATTGAGAAATAAAGCTTTCTTATCTATGTTTATTTATAGAACAATTCTTGGGTTCATCTCTTATTCACCCCTCTAAAGTAGCCAATCAAAATTTACCATATAATCTAATTAAGTAAATAAAAAAAATTAATATCTTATTATATAAAGTATGGTTTTCAAAGTTAATAACTCAAAGGATCGTGCCACGTGTCAAATTTATCAATCTCAGATTTTGATATGTGTAAATAAAGTTTTTCCTTTTATTTATTTTTAAAAAAGATATAAGGAAACTATACATACATGTCAAATTTATCGATCTCAGATTTTAATACGTGTAAAACAAAAATTTTCTTTTATTTATTTAAAAGAAAATTTTATAAGGAAACTATACCTATATATCTTATATAAAAAAGTTTCTAAGAATCTAAAGAAGATAATTATAAGAAAACAATCTGTATCTTATTAATTAAAAATAGAAATTAAAGAAAAAAAAAGTGTAATTTTTTTAATATATTAGACTTTGACAAGCGTCAAGTCTAATTTTGTTAATATATTTAGTGACAAAAATAGAAAATTTCCTAACTCAATCGAAAAAGAAATATATACATAAAAATAAAAATGTTTATATATTTCAATTTTTTATTAATATATTAAACTATTAAAATATTTATATTAATTTTTTAAATATATTCAAAACAGAAGTAAAAGTTATTTATTTAATAGATTTGATTTCCAAAATATTTTTGTGGAATAGTTTAAATATAGAAAAAGTTTGTGTTTATAACTTTAAGGTGTTGAAGTAAAGTTGTAGATGATCAAACCTTTTTTTTTTTGTATTTTAAAAACTCTATTGTCAACTAGTTTCCTTCAAGATTTTGTAAAAACACAAATCACGATGTGTCGGAATGGAAGAATCTATGAAGATATAGTGAACTTTTTCTGGTTTTCGAATGAAATTTTCGACGCGCACCTCTCTCTGTATGTAAGTATTTCTCTGCCAATGTCTTCTGTTGCAAGCCACTTAGCCACAGGACAACTGTTTTACGCGTTAATAACATCTAATGGTTTGAGTCGAGTTAAACAAATTGGAAGAAACATAATAATTATATAAGTCATTTTCCTTCCAATAAATTATACGATCATCTCTTCTAGTTACACTACCAATGTCTTCTACTGCAAACATCTATTCCAATAAACAAGTTCCAATGGAGGAAGAAGAATAAGATGATCTATGATTACCAAACGAGCAAGAAGCAATTCCTCTTCCAAGTGTAAACGACTTGAAGATTTTTCTCAACCAAAAAAAAAAAAAAACGACTTCAAGATTTCGAATAGTTATGATGAATTGAATATATATATATATATAAATTTTTTGTAAAGATTCATAAAACCAGATAAAAGTACTGTAATTAAAATTTAAATCCATTAAATAAATATCTACAGCTCTTTGAAATTTGATAAAGAGAAAACCAAGACATGTTAATATGGTAGACTAAGAATCTTCCAGACCACTTATCCCACATAAGTCCAATTTCATCGTTTGGTTTGTAACCGTTAGCTTTAGCCATATTGTACCATCCTCCTCTCAACATATAATTGCCATTGCACTTAACCAGCGTTAATGTGTAATCATCAGATTCATGACCTTCTTCCATAATATGGACTTTCACTTCAACACCGTTTCCCAAATTCTCGACCAAACCACGTTCCATCTGCGGAATTATAAAAGTTTCAAACTCTTGTTTCGGTAGAATAACCGAACCACCATAACGAAGATCAGTCTCGGTTATATTCTTCTTTACAATCCATGGTTTATGTGGAGCCAAACCCAATTCCAAATCTATTTCTTGAGCCATCCTTACTAAACTATATCAATATTTTTCACTTGTGAATGACGATAATAGTGAGCTTGAGAAATAAAAGCTTTATTACGAGTTTATATATAGCTTTGATCAAAACAATCTTTCCTTCTTTTTTTGTTCTTTCTATTGTTACCATTTTTAGTACTTTTCCTTTTAAGAAGTTTACAATTTTTTGTCCCTATATTTTTACATTACTGTAATATTATTAGAATTTACATTATCTTAGTTTTACAATTTCGTTTATATGTGATCAGTGATTTCCTTTTTCTTTTCATTTTTTCCTTTTCAATTCCTAATCTATTAAGTTTCAATTTACATCCTAGTCATATGCTTTCCTTTGCCTCATGATCGATCTGCAGAAGACACAACATGGTCTCTTTCCGTTCTCCAAATCCAAGTTTAACTCATTGCTAGCTGCTTTATCGCTTAAACCGCTCTCGCTCTTTTGCCTCTGTATTCCTCCACTTCTTGACAGACTCATCTCTTCAGACACTCGTTCAGAAGCCGAGACTTCACGAGCTCCTCATAGTAATCCTGTTCCTTCAAGGGCTTGAGTGTGGAATGCCAATGCCCTCGAAAATCATCGTTTATATCAGCAAGTATCTCTATGATCAATCTCAACTGATAGCTAATGGTCCACTCAACATCCTCCGGTAACATATATGTAAGTATCAAAAATTGAGACCTCGTACATTAAAAATGACAGACAGTTCTAATTGTACCACTGAAGTTGTTTGCATTACACGTAGTAAAAGATTATTTATTGGAATACAAATACTCTTGAAAACTGGAGAGAGACAGACAGAGAAAAGTCCGCCATTTTTATCTGTAGATGGAAACAAAATCATTTCATAAAAATACGACACTGTAGTTGAAAAGAAAAGTTAAAATTGGTTGGGTCCTCTTCTCCCAAAGATCTTCTTTATTTTACAAGTCCCAAAATATTGTTGATTTGGCAAAATGCTTGTTTTGCTTCAACGAAATTTGCTGCTTATGGTGTCGTAGCTCGGAACAGCCAACACTGCCAAAACAAAAAAATATACACAGTATTAAGACACTAGATCTTGGTGTGTGAGTGTGTGCTTTTTAACTCTTAAGCAAAAAGCATAATAAGATTGATATTAAAAAAGTGAAAATAGTTTACCATCTCCGAAGGCACCCATTGTCAAAGGCTTTGAAATAACCTTGCTGGTGAAGTCTGCAATGTCTTTCAAGGTTAGTTGGTCTACTGTCTTCAAGAATTGGTCAACTGGTTTCCTGCAAGATTTTGTAAAAACACAAATTATGATGTGTCGGAATGGAAGAAACTATGGAGATCGAGTGAACTTCTTCTGGTTTTCGAATAAATTTTGCGTGTACATACCTCTCGCCGTATGTAAGTATCTGTCTACCAATGTCTTCTGCTGCAATCATCTGGCACAGGAAAACCGTTTTAACACATTAATAACATATAATGGTTTTAGATCGAGTTAAACAAATTAGCAACATTTAAGTAAAACAGTTTTATGTAAGTAGAGGGTGCCGAGAGTTAAAAATACCCGAGATTCCAAATTCATCAGAACTGCAGATTTTGTGGCTGCCTTGGCACGGTCAAGATGCGCCTGGTTAACTGTCCAACATAAAGAACACAAGGAAAATGTTTCATAGATATAAAAGAATGGTTTCAACTTGTTAGATTAAATGAAAATGAAGAAACACAACTGCAAACCTTTTCCTCCTGCAACATCTTTCAGTTCTTTAGCTGCTAATTCAATTGCTTTTGCAGCGAATTCAGGACTCTGCACTCAAAGATGTAAATCCCTTATCATTATATTACCAAAATACATATCCGACAATGATGTTGTCAGCTACCACAAATTGGACAAAGCTTTAACCCACAAAACCGATATATCTTAAGCTTAGAAAGCAACACATCTCATCAATGGACAAAGATGGACAAGTGATAAAAGGAAAAACATAGAAAGCAACAAAAAGGATTGCTGAACTTACAGAGCAACCATAGATTCCAAACAATCCTGTGTTGTTAAAGATGCTAGTGAATGCAGTGCATGATTGAACCTCCTGATATTCGTTTAGAACACGGCGATCTGTAACCAGACATAGGAACTTGTATCACTATTACTGATCACTTAACAGTGGCAGAGTATGTTCGTGAACTAGTTCAATAAACAAAACTAGATTTGACTTACAGAGCCACGAGTGCATTCCTTTTCCAGGACCTCCTGCAGAGAATGAGCCACCTCCTCCCATAAGCATCTAATAGCAATTAGATTTACATTATATTACATCTTCACTAGTAAAAAGAATTTGATCGAAACAAGTGAAAGTTAATGCAAACAAAAAAGTAAACATTCAATTTAGACACCTGGAGAACAGTGGCGGTGACAGCTTCTTTCTCGTTATTCCAGCCAGGCACCTCAAAAGCAACCGCAAAGTGTGTAGCCTGAAAATGGAACAACAAAAGCACGATTAGAAATGCGACATTAAAATCTCAGACACACTTGTCCAGTGATGGGAAATCTGTCATGAATACCTACCTCTCCACCAGTATGTTGGCGAAAATCTCCACCAACATACTGAGATTTTGGCTCCACTTGGCGTGGTACATTAGGAAGGTCAGAAATTAATGGCTCAGCAACTTTTAAAAGTTCCTCATGCTCTACTCCACTTGCCGCCAGTACCATCCGTGCAGCAGTGAAATTCTCCTGAAATTCGCAGATCAAATGAGTCAAAAAGACACATAACTAACTTAAGTAAACGATTGTAATTTGTAATCACTGAGACGTAGATGGTTCTCAAAAAATGATGCAGTCTTACAGTCATAAACTCTTCCAAGAGCTCCCCATTCAATCTATCTAAAGCAGACTCCGGCGCGTACAGAGGACTTGCCAATGCACCAGAGTAACCAGCAGAATGAATGGCCTCCAAGAGGAAACCCATAGGGTTCTTTGCAAGTTCCGCTACCTCTACCTTCATCTTCCGTAGCTGCGGAAAAGATCATCGACACATGGCAAAAAGTCACATAAAAGTTTTCACACAGTTACCAGAATAGCACAAAGGAAAAAAATGATTTACCTCTTCATTCACTTCCCAGTCCAAGAAAGCAGGGTTTCTAACACTGTCAATAAGAACTTCAACCATTTCAGGGACATAGGTCTTAAGAGC